AAAATATGTAGAGTCCTATATTTTAGTAATGAATGAATTACAATGTCAAGTAACAAGTGAAAATGTTAAAAATGCATTGATTTGCTTTCTATCAATATAAGTTTTTAATTGTATGCTGCAAAATGATAACATTGACCACGCCCACTTTCCAGGGGTAGGGTACTATAAAGTCATATTAAAAATCATAAATAGTACATTATCATTATTATAATTGTATTACAATATCAAACAAAGCTTGAATTAGTTTTTAGAAAACAATTTTGAGCTATTTAAGCTGCCATCTTTTGCTGGAAGCTACAAATATAAGATACGTGAGACTTAAAAATGACTAAAATTGCGTATTTTTTTCCTATTAATTGCAATATTTCTGAGACTAATACAGATATCGGCCTATAACTTTAGGATATTATTCATCTTTGGACTAGTAATGTGTGCTGTAGAAAGCAGAACAATAGCAACTATATCCTTTATGTTATGAAATAGTCTTATAGTACCCCCTGAAATCGCAGGAATTGAAGTCCAATTCGGCCGTGAAAATTGTTTTTACCACTTTAAAGGCCATCACCTTATATTTTCTTACACCTACTAGGTTACTCTAACACACTGCATTGCCAAAAGTTACTTCTTGCAAACTTCCGGCAAAACTGTGCCAGCATCTGATACATAATGTTGAGCTTGGGTTTTAGATTGTACCGCTGATGAAATATGATTTCTTATCTTGGACCCTCTAGACCCTCTGCAATATAGCCATATTTGACATTCTACATATGAATGTATAAAATATATTTGGAATTTCTATATAGAATAATGTTTAATTCTCATGAATTTTGCCTTTTCTACATCTTAAAAAGTTAATAACTTCTAAATTTGACCAGAAAATTCACAATTCCTTTTAGAAAATAATTTTGGATTGTAAAGGAAACATTGGGATGCTTTTTAAAAATATTGCTTCATTCCAACATTTTACACTCACTATTCCCTATTACTTGAATTTAAAGCACATAAATGTAGTGTGAATCCTTATTTAGTTACAATAACTTTTGCAGTAGCCTCACAATGTTTCAGACAAGATTTCTTCCTTTAATGATTGCATTTGTGACTTAAAGATGTATGATTTATGTAAAATAAATTGTAATCTTAAAAGATTGTTTAACTTCTATTTATGATTGATTTTAGTAGGTCACCTCAACTCAGTTTCTATTTCTTATTTTGTTATGGATTACACTTAAGGTTTTTTCCTGAGCTGGATGACGTCAGTAAATATCAAAATTGCGAAGAAAAATTGCAAAGAAAGTCAGGGATTTCGGAAGTGTATGGAATACTTTGATCCAATTTTAGACATGCATATACAGTATTGTAAACAAATCATTGGTGATTGGTCAGAGACAAGTTAGAGAAATGTTGGGGCATTTTCTTGAGTTATTTTTAATCAACTTGAATTCTGTACAGCAAAAAATAATCTTTATATAAATAACTTGTGTCTTGATTCATAGATGTCACTTAAGGCTTATTATTTTGCACCATCAATCATGTCAAAATACTTTCTTAGGGAGTGCATCAAAAGATCAATGCTTCACAAAAGCTATATCGTTTTTTATTCACGCCACAAGTTATAAGGTTTATCGACAACATCGGCCTTGCTTATCCCGGAACTATCATCATGTACCTTGTTGAAGAGTCTTTCATATTCATTAGATGGGGTTTTATATATATTGGCTGTGCCATAATAGTAAAAAAGAAATTTCAAAATTTGATATACATCTGAAATATTATCAATATGTAGAGGTACAGAGAGGATTGTGGGATATACATAAAACGGCTGGTGCAATTCTCTGGGGATCGATGTTGGGGAAGCTTATTGTTTTGGTTTTAAACAACCCCCCCCCCCCCCAGCTCAAAATATATAACATATTTGGTGACATTGATCTTTTAACATGGTCCCTTAATTTGATTAGATGTGAATTCATCACCTTTTGTAAGTCATAAAAAGGTGCATTCGTGTTAAGTATTTCTGCTTGTCATGAACTCATTGGGAAGCATTTTCCCATTCTGATACTCATAGCATCTTTCTGTTTCACCTGAAAATTTTGGGCTCTCCTGGATCACCAAATCATGCTCATTATATCATGGCATCTCAGAGCTGAGAAGAAATAAGATGTCATGGTTTATCATGATAGCATTTTCCAAGCCTCACTTATTCTGGAAAATGATTGTGTCATAAGTAAAACATAGTCTTGCTTAAAAGACCCTGTACTCCCCCCCCTATCATTCTCTCTAGTATATTGCTAGGTAAAGAGAGTGAAGGTGACGGGGGGGGGGGGGGGGTGGATACAGTCTTTGAGCAAGACTAAGTAAAACGATGAGGTGTTGTGAATTTCAAAGTTTTTGGTCTTTTAGAATCAGTTGGAATTGTCTGAAATAAACAAATCTTGAAATGCATCATCTATTTCTGCTGTATTTATGCTATACTGGTTTTATTCTGGACCTGTATGTAAATATGTATTGTGTTAGATAATCGAGGGGTACAAATTGATTTATAATATTACTTTATCTTTCAACAAGTTCTTGTATATACCCCCACCTGCATTCTCTTTGCTAAAGCTGAATAGAGATACTTAATATACTTGTAACTGTACAGGCCCGTAGCCAGGATTTGCCAAGGGGGGGGGGTTCTGTTTTCAAAAATCTCCAGAGGGGTTCACATTTGACAATTTTGGCCCAAATATGGCGAAAATCACTTGAGAAGTGCTCAAAATGGTGAAAAACTGCATGATTTTGAAAGAATTTTTGGCTGGGGGGGAGGGGGGGGGGGGTTCGCGCGAAACCCCCTTGCTACGGGCCTGCTGTAGAATGCAAGTTTCTTTTTATTATTTGTGATCATCAGATATGTCTGACCTCTAAAATTCATTATCAGTGTGGTCTAAGATCACATTTCACATATACATTGTCTTGAATTATATAAGGTATGTAATTAAGATGGGATTGTGAGTTAGATCTTACAGTGCATTACAAATACTGACATTGTCACTCTACATTATAAATTAAAACCAATGCCAAAATTAGAATATTAGAACAATGACAAAGGGGTTTGTTTCATAAAATGTCATCGCCTGGGGTTAGTTATTATTTTTATTTACAACATCTGTTATAGTAAACATGATAATTATATAAAAATGTTGAGCTCAAAACTTGTTTTCACCAGGGACGATTTTCAGTTGAAAAGAATGAGATATGTCTGATTAACTACATGCCAAATTGTACTAAAAATATAACGTTTTGTTTGAAATTAACAGCAACTGACTAGTTTTGTCTTTGTGAAATGATGTCCCTATTGACATGGTCCCTTTTCAATACAAAGAAGATATGCCAGCTATCAAAAGAGAATGCCTTGAGTAAAAAGGAATACAATACTCAAGGTCAAGATCAATTCAGCATATAAAGTAAATGTATTACATTGATGCATCCTAAGTAGACGTGAACATGTCCTTAATCTTCGATAGGGACACAAAAAATTAAATCTTAAAAACTGTTGGAGGTGTTTACTCATTTTGGTGTTTTATGTTGAAAATCAAAAATGAACAAAAAGGTGACAGAAACATCTCTGACATATATTTCATGTTGAATTTATTGTTCATGTCTATATAATGCAATGGCAAATTAAGGACAATATAATGTTAAGATGTTTATGAAAAACCTTGGATGAGTTGATATTTTAAGAACAGGGAATGCATAAATCATGATCAAAATTACATACCAGGTAACTTAATACTGCAAGTTTAGAGGTTGCGGGTATGTCATCCTTTGTGAAGTTATGAATCCTCGAAAAGATATATATAAATCTTAATTTTCTTTTTCTAGACAAAAATATTAAATTATATGTTTTGATAAATTAGGAGCACAGGTTATATCTTGTCTATTACTGAGAGCATATCAGCATACACTTTTTCTTACGGTTCATAGATTAAAAAAATAAAATCTAAAACTAAATGAATTCGAGTAAGTTGAATCTGAATGTTATTGAGGTCAAAGTTTCAACACTGATTCAGCTATCATAGCTGGGAAATGATTATTGGCCATTATTGGGGCTTTTGAACATAATTGAAAACAGGTTAGGGTCAGTTCAGTTGAGTTAACCTTAACTAGGGTTAAGGAAATCTCACTCTATTCATTCCCAATTAGTTTTTTGGTGGTTTTGACAATGACAGGATTATAAACTACTAAAATTGATGATTCCTTCAATCAAATTATAAATATAAATGATCTCATCTAGAGGAAAAATGAAACTCAAGACCTAAAATGAGGCCATATGATCTTTTGGAGTCATTTTTCTAAGTTGTCTTATGTCTCATATCCCATAAAATGTAACAGCTAAAATGATTGATCTTTTGACCCTGGTTTGACCCTTTTGCATATCCATAAATGTCTTCAGAGGTACAGTTGGATATATTACATTGGAAATCAGAATGATGGATGTATATAATTTTAATGTCATCTCCAAGAATTCATTGTTTTTAAATGATGATGTAAAATATTTTTGGTGTAAAAATGAGATAACAACATCCCATGAAATTTATTTTTCAAAATTATTCTGTATATTGTGAAAATATGTAATGGAGATCTGTTATAACAGCTCCCAGCTGCTGAGAGCAGACTCAAAGAGCTTTATTGCACCCAGGAGATGAATCTAGAGGACACTGTACCATGTAGATCAGACTTTCATACTTGCTATAATCCAAGTGTATGAATACACAAACCTGAGATAGATTTTTTTTAAGTAGCAAAAGAAAAGTTTTGAAAGTTAATGCAGTGTATGTTATGTGGTTAATAGAGTTGGCACATGCAAAATGCTTTCCATTTATTATTGTTTATAAAAACACTTTTCAATGTAGGCATTAAGATGAAAAATAAGTATTGAGTAGGAAGTTATGATGTTTAAAATATAAGTAAATCTTAAATACTTTCAAACTAACTACTGTTGTGAGCTACTTAGAGTAACTCTATATGATGATAATTTTAATGATACTTTCACATGGTGAGCTGAGCATGCAGCTAGCTGAAGTTTCACTCTTCAAACAACAATGAACCCCTGGATGGGTAAAACAAAATTAATTTGAGCTGAGAACTTGAGAGTTTTAGAAACATTTTCATTTTATTTTAAGTTTCATCCTATTAATATCATGTCATAGGAAAACTATAAATTTGACAGTTGATGGATTATAAAAGGATTTCTACAATTTACTTCTAAAAGTGGTAGTATGGAACATCATTGAAAATGGTGTGCATTTTGGAAAAACAGTGGTATATATATGTAGGACCTAGCATCTGTGTATGGCTTCTTGGATATATATGTATTTTTATTAGACGATTCCAGAAATATTGCAGTGATGCACCATTGGAAAGGATATCTGATTCAACATCATTTATCGCAGAAGATGTGGGTGGGGAGCCCACTGAATTGTTTAAAACATGTGTTGGCAATCGGGAAAAAAGATCATCCAAACTTGTTCTTAAAGACACGATTGAGGGTTTGGTCAGAGGCAGGACATATCCTGGAAAATTAGTGGTAAGTTTGAATTTATGTCCCATGCACTGATTAATAAGATTTCTTCAATTTTAGGGTAGAATGTGACTTATGCTCATCTCTTTAACATAAAAACGTGACTGCAGGAGGGAAACCTGTCAAAAATTTCTGTTAGATCAGAAACTTAAAATAGGGGTTTTATAATATGGCTATGATCTTGGAAATAAAAAAACACATTTATTTTCCTAATTTATGCTCAATTCCTTTAGAATGGGTGACTTGGAAAGATTTGCTGTGAATGTTTTTGCATTGCTGGTGTCGAGAATAATGTGTTATATAAATTCAATGAGCTACCAAAAATAAACTCGTCATATTTCACTTTCAATACTTTGTAAATTAAGTTTCAAGCATGGGGGTAGGGGGGGGGGGCAGATCATGAATTCATTAATTTAGTTTCTGTACTGATTGTTTTGACAGCTTACCTACATATTTACCTTTAATATAAACATGATGTAGCTAAGTATAATCTAATCTGCTTAAGTGTCATTTCATAGGCATTATGTTTCCATAACATTAAATAATATCCGTGTTGTGCAAAACAGAATATTGAAAATATTGTGATTTCAACAGACCATATTGACCAAATCAATTTTATAATTTAGCAGTATTTTTCCAATTTCTATCTCACATTTTACTTTAGCATGCATACTAGTAAATGTTTTATTTAAAGAAATAGAAAGAAAAAAACAGAAACTTAGCCAGTATTAATTTGACTTGCAATGGGAACCTGTTGAGAAAGATCAAAGTTATGCATATTCAATTTCTTTAGATTTTAAAAACAATTTTTTGAATAAATCAAACTCAAGATCATGATCAAGGGCGTGATCTAAGCTATAAATGCCATAAATAGGAGCCTTCAAAATGAATCAACACAATTTTGAACTTCAAAATCAATCAAAATGAATCTAATTATATTTTATTACAGATTGGAGTTGTATGGTTACTGAATGTGCTGTCTCTAGTGCTCTACTTCATTGATGAAGCAAGGTATGAAAAAGCTTGTTGCTATCATTCATCATTCAGGTTCATGACATGGTGGTTGTAAAATATCCATTTTAATGTTTGAATTTTAAATTAGGTTTTTAAAGTACCACAAAATGTGTTTACAAAGGTTGAATTTTTTCATAAGCTTATAAAGTATCTCGCATCCAATCATGGGTTTATAGTACATGAAGTTAGAATGTCGATTATAATTCAATTGAATTCCTCTTGGTTGCTAATCATTTTAGAATATCAAAATTTTTTGTCCTGCATTTACCATTTTTGAAATATACATAACCTTGTTATTGAAAAAATAATGAAAATCTTATGTAGTACTTATAAGAATATTTATTGTACTCTTTAGACATTAAAAACTTTTTGTTTTTGGAAATCAAACACTTCAGATTATGAGGTGAGTTGATTGATCATTTGACAAAGAACATTACATTTTAATGGATGCACTTTCAATTTATTTCAGTTTAAAAAGGAATTTAGACATCTGGAGTACATTGTTCGAAATTTAAAGTAGAAAATTCCTAATTTTATTATCTATGTATGCCATCATAGTCTCCGTGGTAACAACAGCCAGTTAAGAACTTTGGTAGCAAATAATGTTTTGATAAAGTCCCCATGCCAGGAGGGTAACCATGATCTAAAGTCTGACAATGCAAAAGTTGAGAATATCAAAAAGATAAAAGAAGTTCTTGCTACCTTTACAAAACTTTAGTTGAAAAAGTATGTTTCTGTAAAATTCTGAATAACCATGAAACATTTCTGTTGTTGATTTCGTAGAATACTTTGAAATTACTATAAATCATTTGTGTTGTTGTTTATGATTTGTAGTATAATTTGCAATTACTATAAAACAATCGTGTGATTGTTTATAATTTGTAATATATTTTGAAATTACCATCAAAACATTTGTGTTCATGTTCATGTTTTGGTGTTGTTTTTAGCTCACATGTTTTATATTGACTTAGCATTTTTGCACTGCATTTCAATTTGTTGCACACTAGGACCAAGACTTTATATGCATGACACTGTTTTTAGCTCATTTATGTTATGTTGTATTATGTTGTGTAGTTTGATGTAACTGTTTTGTAGTGTACTCTAATTTGTAGTGTACTAGGAGACTCTAAGTGTGTGAAGCTGTTGCCTTTGGATGCTTTGCTACATTGCTGCTTCTTCATATTTAGCATGTTAAGGGTAGATATTCTATTAGTTATGTTATATATGGAGGTTTTTAATGGGAGGGATGGAATATGAATTTTATTCTGAGGGAAAATATGATATTGGTCAAGAAAAATATCATATTGAGCGAGGGTGATAGCCCGAGTGTCAGTATGATATTTTCAGAGGTCTACATCTTATCCCCCTCAGTCTATATCATATCGCCCTCGGTCAATTTGATAATTTCCTTGGCCAATATAATATTTTCCCTCAGAATAAAATTCATTCCACCCCTCCCATTAAATAAACTCTATTTATTTTTTGTTATTTGTTTCTACTTTAGTTATAATTTACTGTGTACACTTTTTATTTGTATCATATAAAAAGTGATAGCCCCTTGTTCAAAGGCCTCTAAACTATTCATTTGACACTTTTTACATTTTTTACATTTTACATTACTGTGTTGCAATTATTTGTATGTTAAATTAGACATTAGCTTGTCATAAACTTTACCTTTCAAACATTTCAAAAGTTGAAACTCAATGTATATTATATTTGGTAAAACTGTAGTACTATAAAAGGAAAGCAGTTTTCAATGTTGTTGCCTATCATGCACTCTATATAATATCTAGTGACTGTTTATGCTCATTGAAGGTGGTGAAACAAACAAAATGGAAATTTTCATGTTGACCCTTTTCATCAAAGAAGACCACATCATGATCTACAGTTGCTGGAATAAGAGAGTGTCAATTATCTTTGTGTGATAAAATATATCTACATGTATCATGGAGTATTTCCCATGATACATGAAATTAATGTACTATGAAATTAATTTATTTAAAAAACAGAATTCACTCCTTTAGTAAATATACTGCTCTAAAAATAGGAAAAGTCACCTTCATAAAGCATGGAACTAGACATTTATATAGAATGTATCTTATTCTCATGAAATGAACATTATCCTTGCTTGTAAACATCATATCACTTCATGTAGGACTTCTCAATTCTTTGTTATAGAGCCTGGTTACTATAGCTTTTATGTCACCACCACAGATCACAAGTGGTGACATATTGTTATAGTCTCCTTAGTAACCTTTTGTGCATTTTAAGTTTGGAAACGGAATATTGAATATGAATACTAGAAAGGGCTAGGGAATATGAAGACAAACATATGGAAGAATATAAAATCCTACCACCCATGCTGCCCCTCTTAGTCCCCCCCATGGAAACAACCCTGAATGCCTAAGCAATTTCTGTTTCAGTTTGGAGTGTGTAAGAATGGCCTTATGTTCTGGTCATCACTGAGCACCATTGTTGACATCTTCACCATTCCACAACCTTTCATTGCAATCTATCTGGGCAGAAACTGGCTTGGTAAGTGGCATGATTTTCACTTCTTTTTTCATTGTTTGATTGAATCATTTAATATAATATCTTGAGAAAAAATTAGATGAAATCAGTATCAGTATTTGGTTATTTATTTTATCTGGTAAATTACCAATTGTGTTTCGTCAGTTTGAAGTGTAAATAGAGTCAATTTTTCTTTTCTGAAAATATAAATCTTTTTTATTCTAATTTTTTCTACATGTGACATATACCTAATGTAGCACCTTATCAAATAACTTTGACCACTGTTATACTTAAAAAGGCCCCCCCAATGGCAGATTGAGTCAATGAGTGCATAACATGTGTAGTATATGATGGTCACAATGTCTGTTCACATATCTGTTCACATTAATGTTCCCTCAGCAGTGGGTGTATTGCTAATCCTATTAGTGTGATGCACCATGCATTAATCTTGTACAAATGAAGGAAAATACAAACCTGGGATATGGACATTTTCCAAATATGTCAAGGCTAAAATAGTTATGAAATTAATTTTATTCAGCTTAAATATTTTCATCCCAATTAATAAGGTTCAGTATGGGTAAAGCAGTCAAGCCAGCTGTCCATTGTTCTATTTATTGTTATACATGAAGTAAAACCTCTGTATAGTGAACACCTATAGAGCCACAAAATAGTGTTCACTGTAGGTAGGTGTTCCCTGCAGAGGATTTTTAAACAGGAGTCAATGTGGTGCGTGTCTTGAAGTGGTTTTCACTAAACACAGGTGTTCACAAGAGAGAGGTGTTCACATGTATTATGTGGCAAATATGTCATCGTATATTTGGTATTATAAATGGGAGTCACTTTTTATGTGTTTCAATCAAACCCCAAAGTTAGCAATCAAAGAAACACAGTACATTAGTATATGGAAAAATGCTTCAAATTTTTGGTTCGAGTCTTGTATATTTCAGATAGATTAGTTTTATGTACAGTTACCATTTGGCCTCTTGTAATTTAGGGATTTTTATCCATAATACTTTTTTCAAAAATAACATGTCATGTTTTCATATAATTAAAATGTAATTTATTAAGTATTCTGTTTTTTCTTCATCAATTTATAAAGTTTATCAACATTTTAATTTTTGAGTACTATTTTATCACTCATGATATATGAATTATATAATAATATATGATAATAAATTAGTACTCTTAATATGAGCGCTCAATGAGTAATGAAAAATCAATGAAATTAGTGCTATTTCATCCCTCATGATATGTGTACTCATTTAGTACTAAAACATGCACTAATTAGTACTCATAGAATGAGTGCTCATTGAGTAATGAAAAATCAATGAAATTAGCGCTATTTTATCACTCATCATATGAGTACTCATTTAGTACTAAAACATGCAATAAATCAGTACTCATGTCATTACTGCTCATTTAGTACTAATATTTACTGAACTGAGTACTAAAATGCCATGAGTACTATTTTAGTACTCGGTAAATCTCCCTGTGTACCTGTCCTTTAATATTTTTGACATTTGATTGTAGGTCTTAGATTTCTGAGGGCCTTAAATCTGATAATGGTTGCTGAAATATTACAGCTTCTTGGCTGGTTGAGGTCAAGGAACAGTATCAGAATGACTACTCTAGCAATGATCTTTACTGGGGTCTGGCTCTCAACATCAGGATTTGTACATCTTGTAAGTAAAGAACATGAAATGTTTGTATTTTGACACTCAAACTTGGTTCTTGTAGTAACTATAATAAAGCACTAATATATTTAGTTTATATTTGTATATAGCACTGTTCTTCTCAAGTTTACAAATATATCAGTGATTTTTTTATGTTCATATGAAACCAAGTTAAATTGCAATTTAATTAGCTAAATGCCTTCCTCTGTATGAGTTTGTGCATTTCTTTTATAGTCTATAGATTGGTTTTGATTCTTTGAATGATTTCTTTATATTATATCCTTACATGGTTGTAATTTAGGTAGAAAACACTGGGGATCCCTTTTATGAGTACAACAATGGTCAAAGCCTCACATATTGGGATTCAGTCTACTACATGTTGGTTACTATGTCTACTGTTGGCTTTGGAGACATCAGCTGTGTAACTGTAACAGGAAAGATCTTCATAACTGCATTTATTATAGGATCTTACGTGAGTAGTTTAATGCATCAATTATGTTTTAACCAATCTGCTTTCAAAGTAATATGTTCGAACCAATTTTGTTTCAAAATGCAAATTCTAACAACCACACATCAGGATATGATTTTGCCTATCCTAAACCAAGATATGTTTTTCTTCAATATTTGTTTGTATTTTCATTTTGAAAAAGGTTGTGTCAGCTTTGGATATACTGGTCGCTAGATACAATGTATAGACTGTGGACTGATTTAACAGCATGATAATATGCTTGAGTGATTTCTGAACCACAAGCCTATGAAATAACATTTTACGTGTGCACAAAATAGATTTCATATAAAAATCAAAATGTGTGTCTATGCTGTAAGCCTTACATAAAGTAAATCACTTACATAGTGGTCACTTACAAGCTTACTGGCACTTACTCACTCGCCTTCCTTAAATGTCCTTAAATGTTGTTTTATGTATAACTTGAAATGCTAGCCTATAATGCAAAGTGCGCTAGGCAGCAACTACTGTAATTACTGTATACCTTTGAATTGAATAAATATATAATGAAATGAACGTAGTGGTCACTATGGTGGTTGCTTATGTTTTAGGTGATGTTTGGTAACATCATATCAGAAGTGATTTCATCAATGGCTACTAGCTCCAGACGCATGTACAGGAATTGCGATCACATCTATACTAGAAAGTAAATATGCTATTCTTACATCTGTACATCTATTCTGTTTGAAATCATGAAATAGGCATGTCATATTGTTGATACATTACAGTATTTTACTGTCAACAATCTTTTCAATTTTAAAACTTTTATATGGCTCTTTGGTGATATATTTTAATGGTAGTACAAAATACCCCAAAGATGAATAAAGAAAAATTACCCTAAGCTGTCAAAAACTTCCATTTTTCACCTTCATAATGTCAATGGGTTTGTGTAGACATCATTTATTAAAGCGAAAATTTAAAAGAATATTTTATTTTTATTGTGAATCATATGACTTTTGAACAATTTAACACTCATGTGATTTAAATTTGTCAAACAATATGCACTTTTCTTAACGACATATATATTTTCCAGGTTTGTAATAGTATGTGGACACATCACCTGCCATTCTGTCACTTCATTTCTGAAAGATTACTTGCAGAGAGATACACACATACAAGGCATAAGAGTGATATTTGTGCACAAGTAAGAGATACACAATACACATACATAGGCTTGCATACATCACTCTCTTTTTATGTCACCCCCAAAAATTGAATTTATTTTTCAAAACCATTTATGAGTTCTCAGAAGTTCAAATCTGACTATACATTTGAGATTTGACCTTCGATGACCTTCTCAAGGTCAAAAAAAGGTCAAAGGGTATTTTTCATATTGTTTCAAATTGACCAATTTTTTCAAAATCATCTACAAGTACTCAGAAATTCAAATCTGTCATAAGATTTGAGATTTGACCTTCAATGACATTCTCAAGGTAAACAAGGCCAAAAGGTCTTTTTACAAGCTGCTCAAAATTGCCCAAGTTTAATTTTCAAAATATCTAAATTGACATGAAACATGACTACTACAGTGATCATCAATTTGGCATGTTTTATAATGTTTAACTTTTAGCAAAATCTGGTACATATTATGAGACTTGTGCTTACATTTAACTTTTGATCACTCTAGTTAGCTAAATACAGTATTGTGTGAAATTAGGTGGTAAGTGACATTTTTTCATGTTTTAACATTAAAATGCCTTGTCACCTTTCTGTCAACACAAACACAATGCTATTACTATGTTGTATCTAAAGTTGCTAGTATTTGCAGGGATCCCCCAGGTGAGGAGCTGGAACTAGTCATAAAGACGAACTTCACTCAGGTGCGATACTTCCAAGGTTCAGTCCTCAATGATGCAGACCTTCAAGCCATGCATGTAAGTACATAGGTAGTCTAATGCACAGCCTAAACAAATACCACAATTTGAGGCAATCCTCTCCATGGATCTGTTTTCTTAGTGTCTCGCGTCTTGTTTTCTGAGAGTACATTAAGGTCATTAAATTCATTTTTGGTCAAAATCATATGATGAAAGCAAATGTTTTAGATTGTTTAATAGATTCTGCCTGTAGCTCATATTTGAGCATGTATCCTGGCCAGAGAGAGAAAACTGTCTGTTTTCGTCAAATACCATTTATAGATAAAATGACTGTAAACCTAATTCAGCTACAAGACAAGGAACAAGGAATGTTTTATTTTCAGACATATAAGAAGTCCATTCTTACTCTATTTTACTCAAAGTTATACATTTGCATGTTTATCACTTTTTCAATACTTTTCATTGTACTAAGTTGTCAATTTCATCTCCAGATGAGCTCAGCAGATGCATGTCTGATTCTATCAAACAAGTGTACACCAGAGCCCTATGAGGAGGATGTTGCCAACATTATGAGGTGTACAAGTGTTAAGACATTCAGGCCAAATATCAGAGTCATCATGCAAGTCTTACAGTATAGAAACAAGGTTAGTGGTTCAACAATGTATGCAATGTATGTAACACATTTCAATATGTCAGTTTCAAGTAAACTGAAGGTTTTGGGGAATTAGGATATTGTCGCGTTCCAGACTTTTGCCTATAGTCTGGAAGCGATGAGTAATTTTCTACCTTATACTTCTTTGTGGGCCCAGTCCTGGTTTGGTGGACTGGATGAAACGACAGTCACAAATGGCTTCAAATTTAATACATATATTTTAACACACACTAACTATACAAGAAAATAACACACTTTAATGCTCATAGACTAAAATGTCACTTTGATCTCTCTTTATAAGCTTGGTAGTGGCCGTTACTGCTTTCTTACTGCTTCCTATGGCTCTTAAGCTCTTTACTCGGCTCCTCTGCCTCTTTATGGCTCGTAATTTTGGCTCAGCTCCTCTGGCTCTTCGTTCAGCTCCTCTGGCTCTTGAGCTTGGCTCTTCTGGCTCTTAAGCTTGGCTCCTCTGGCTCCTGAACGTGGCTCCTCTGGCTCTTCGTTCAGCTCTCTTTGGCTCTTTAGCCTGGCTCCTCTTGAGCTTGGCTCTTCTGGCTCCTGAACTTGGCTCCTCTAGCTCCTCGTTCAGCTCTTTGGCTCTTTAGCCTGGCTCCTCTTGAGCTTGGCTCTTCTGGCTCCTGAACTTGGCTCTTCTAGCTCCTCGTTCAGCTCTTCTGGCTCTTGAGCTTGGCTGCTCTGGCTCTTCGTTCAGCTCTCTGGCTCTTTAGCCTGGCTCCTCTTGAGCTTGGCTCTTCTGGCTCTTAAGCTTGGCTCCTCTGGCTCCTGAACGTGGCTCCTCTGGCTCTTCGTTCAGCTCTCTTTGGCTCTTGACTTTTCCAGGGAGGCTCCTCACTGCTCGATGCGATGGAAGTCTTCCTGGAACTACTTCTGTCAGCGGTGAAACCAACTGACAAAATACTTCTCTGTGTTGGGAAGTTTCTCAATTGCACCTTACAGCTAGTGGTGGAACCGAACTAACTGTAATGCAAGGTTGCTTCCAGAATGTTCCTTGCTGCTTCCTCAAGGACAACACTGAGCTCTGAATCTCTTTACAGCACTCTTAAGAATGGAAGTATGAAGCTATTCTTGCTTTCAATTAAATCTAACAAATATCTCACTAACTTAGAAAGCCTGGGACACAAAATGGCGACACACAGTAGATCTGGATACCTAATGAACTAGAAATTACGATCAGTCAGAGGCATCTCAGTAGCATGCTGATCATAAAGTCACAAATTCTGGTACACTTGAAATTCAAAGTTATAGTCAGTCAGAGGCATCTAGTAGCATGCTGGCCATAAAATCACATAAACAAAAAGGAAAAATCTCACCCGAATCAGTGCTGCTTTCTCTTAGGCCCAAAAATTCGAGTTTCCTCTCCTGTTTCTCCTTCTAAAACGTCCTGGTGTGTCTTCCCGCTTTATTCTTCTTAACTAATCCCAAATCACTGGCTGATGGCTACTCCAAAGCACGATAATTGTAGATTTTCTTCCAAACCTCAATTCACACTGCTTCATTCAAGATGGCGACCTTCCTTTTTTCTCACGTGATGGCATGAGTCATAGGCACAGGTTATCACTATTTAAAATCAGGGGCACTGCATTGCAGCAATTGAGGGGAATCCCCTTCCTATCTTGGAATACCCACTTGTGAGCAGGGGTTTTCCTATCCCTTGCATAAATGGACTAATAACCATAAAACTGCACCAGTGGGAAAATTAAAAAGGATAAACACAAAAAATGAAATTTTCCCACAATATCATATTTTTATTTTCTTGTTGTTATGTTTTTGAATTGTGCAAATTTTCAGATGTCCTTTTATACCTGATACTCCTCAATTTAAAGGCTTAATAGCTATACATATTTTTGGGGCCTTGAAGACGCTTGATAGCTATAAAGAGATTACTCATACTTGTCAATATGTTGTGTATTCTTATTTTCTCAATGTTGCTATTTGTGCACATTTTATCTAAACATACATGTTGACACTCTATGTGTTACTTTCAGCAAAGGTTGAAGAATGTTCCACATTGGAATCCAACAAGGGGTGATGAGGTTATATGTGTTACTGAGCTCACCCTCAACCTGATGGGTCAACATTGCATCAGTCCATGTCTGCCAACCCTAGTTGCTAACATCATCAGGCCATACTCATCTGTGGCTAAACATAAGGTGCAGATTTTGCCTCACTTTTGGAATTATGTTGTGGTACTAAGATTGTTATTATGTAAAGTTGCTGTCACATGGGGGATACATGTATCTTGTTTTAAATCTGTTTGTTTTGCACCATGTATCCATCATGTATGCCGTGCCCCACTGTAAACCCAAAAGTATTCATACAGTGGCAAACGGTGCGCACACACAGTTTAAGGGGAGGCATCAAAAGTTCGATGTCGGATAGAAAACTAAATAAATCTAGTTAGGGGGAGGGGGCTCAAACCCATATCATATCAGTTTGCTATCCGACAAATTTCAACATTTCAAATTTTGGGCAATTTTGACTCAGAATGCCTTGGAATGGTTTAAAAATAAAGGTTTTACCTGATGCTTTCTTCGTCAAGATCATTCTAATAGACTCTATTCTATCAATAATTGTTAAAAGCCGCAAATAACGATAGGAATTAACAAAAACTAGATCATGTTTAGCAATAATTTTTCAAATTCTCAAACCGGAAGTCCAATATCAACTTTCATGGTATTTAGTTTTGAGGGGGAGGAGGGGGGGTCAAAGTCAAAACTGGATTTATTTAGTTTCCGATCCGACATTGAACTTTTGATGCCTCCCCTAAGTGTGACAGCTCCATATATAACTATAGAGAGTAAGTTATGATATGACCTATTCGCTCAAGATATTTTGGCACAGCCCCAGGAACATGTATAAAAAATCGAGTCATCATCTGAATAAGTAATACAGATGTCGACTCGATATTTGTATACATGTTCCCTGGGCCTATGGCTGTATTTAAGATTGTAAGATGTATGGTGTTTATTTCAGATCTACAAACTTGAGAGCTGGGAGAAGTCTTATCATGAAGGTCTCAAAATGGAGGTCTATAATGTTGCATTACACAGAAGTTTCAATGGCATGCCATTTAGTGAGGCCGCAAAGTAATACATTATTGCATTATTGTTTTCTGAAGCCATGCTACAGAGGCATCGGTGACATACTAGTTAAATCAAGAATAACAAATTAAAATGAAATTCTAGAAAACAAACAAGTAGCTTATTTGATAAATAACATCACGGGATAAACAGAGCAATTGAATTCAAGGTATCTAATAGTACATGGGCAGTGCCTGAGCCCTGCAATACTCGTCTGGTCTTTAAACATAAAATTGGTATTCATATATTATTGTGCCGTAATTCTCAATCTTTATTCCTTAAATAGAAATGGTCCTTATATTTTTGTAGAATATGTTACTGTGAACTGGATGTGCTCCTCATTGCCTTGTATACACCTGCTTCTCAGGGTGAAGATCCTTCAGATGTTTGTAGCACATTTCTAGTCAACCCGTCTGAGGACTCAGTACACAGTAGAAGTGTAGGGGTCTGCATAGCATCTTCTGCTGCTACAGCTAAACAGTACGTACATATACATGACAGTTGGTGTTTGGTGGTTGGTGCTCGGCGTCTGTAACAAGTGGCAGGTGGTGACATTTTGCATGTTAATGCCTTGTTATCCAATACTATGGAGAGGTATAATTTTGATGGTTAATTAAATAACATCCATACTCATCATGTTCCATCACCATTCTGATTCTTTATGATATCATAATACGAGATGAATTCATCCTTAAACAATATTAATTGGCTTGTTCAATACATCGCTTGTTCAATAGTCAAAACTATTGACCACTCATTGACCAATCAGAGTTGAGTATTTTGACTAAGTTAGTAATAAAATGAATAGTACATGGTAGTTTTTTAGCTCACATGGTGAGCTTTTGCAATCGCTCACTTATCCATCTGTCTGTCCGTCCGTCCGTCTGTCTGTCCGTCCGTCAACAATAGTGGCACGTTTTAAAACCTCTGTCGATAGGATTCCTGTTTTAAGTTATTTCTGTTCAACATCAATACAGAAAACTCCCCTATGACTCCTGGTTAAAAAGCTCGCCTATTTTCAAAATGGCCGCCATTTTTGTCTCGCGAAATTCACTTTTGACTGGCACGTTTTAAAACCTCTGTCCATAGGATTCCTGTTTTAAGTTATTTCTGTTCAACATCAATACTGAAAACTCCCTTATGACTCCTGGCTCAAAAGCTCGCCTATTTTCAAAAAGGCCGCCATTTTTGTCTCGCGAAATTCACTTTTGACCTATTTCCTACCTTTACAAATAATTTCAAGTGTCCTACATTGTAAAAATCCATGTCAATGTAAAGAGTAGATGTATGAAATAATTTTGTTACGAAAAATCAGCAAAAAATTATATCCATTTTTTTTATTTTCAGCCATTTTAGTTAACATTGATTTGTCCATCTGTCTTGCAAAATCCACTTTTGGACCATTTGCCTTAAACCCTCTGTCGATAGAATTCCTGTTTAAGTTAATTTTGTTCAACATCAATACAAAAAAACTCTCCTATGAGTATGACTCTTGGTTCAAAAGCTCGCCTATTTTCAAAATGGTCACCATTCTTGTCTCGCGAAATTCACTTTTGGCCCATTTCCTAGCTTTACAAATAATTTCAGCTGTCCTGCATTGTAAAAAGCCATGTCACTGTAAAGAGTAGTTGTATGAAATAATTTTGTTACAAAAAGTCGGCAAAATATTATATCAGTTTTTTTTTTTCAGCCATTTTAGTTAACATTGATTCGTCCATCTGTCTCTCAGTCAGTCCAAAAAAGTGGCAAGTTTTAAACCTCTGTCAACACTTTTTAAATCCTCTGTAGATAGGATTCCCGATTTAAAATAATTTTGTTCAACATCAATAAAGAAAAAAAAACTGTGACTCCTGCTTCAAAATATCGCCTAATTTCAAAGGCCACCATTTTTGTCTCGGGAAATTCACTTTTGGCCCATTTCCTAGCTTTACAAATAAGTTCAGGTGTCCTGCATTGTAAAAAGCCATGTCTTTGTAAAGAGTAGTTGTATGAAATAATTTTGTCATAAAAAATCTGCAAAAAATTATACCCGTCTTTTTTATTTTCACTTTTGAGCAACACCATGTGAGCCCAGTACCCACGGTACTAATTTTGTATTAAATGTCTCGTTCAATATACAATAAATTGACCTGAAGATGTAGTCATTTAAATCTACATATAATCATCTTCACTCTTCAGTAATCGAGCTGTGTGTCATTAGTAAATCATATTTTAAAAAATGTGATAATATTCAAAACTTTAAAATACAACATAATTGCATGGTTGTTGTTCAAGCTTTAATGGTTTCTTAGGTATGTTCATCGTCTGTGCCAGAATATAATTGTATGGTGGGTGTTCTAGCTAGCTCTAAGAGTTGACAATAATTGCATGGTTAGTTTTCTTGCTCTAGGATATTAACATTGTCTGTTGTTTAAGTTAGATAGTTTCATGGTTTATCTGTTAATCTATTCAATAGTTGTATATTATAACTGCATGTATATTGAAATAAAGGTCACACAACATTATCATACATATACGTGTATACATATGTATTTCTAATTTTATTTATGAAAATTCATTATAGAGTGTCAACTTGGTGTACACAATGTCTTCATCACCATGGTGACCATGACTGTTTCGCAGACCAGCCAACCAAATCAGTCAGCAAAAAAGGTACATTTCATTTCAAAATATGAGACAGGGGGTAGAAACAAATACAGTGAATGCATAATGGCATGTTCTTAATGCATTTAGGTTATGAACATTTCCAATGAATTGTGGGTTATGTTGTAGCAATCATCAAATTAGTTTTGACACTAAGTGCAACAAGACTTGGCAATTTCACATGCCTCGAAAGAACACTAATTGTGATGTCTGATTTCCTGTTGGTTTTCTATTATGGTTTATGATTTCCCATTACTTTTTTTTTTTAGAATACACACTGGTTTACAATATATTGCCACAGCCCCCAAGGCATCTTAACTCCACCACAAGTCATTTGTTACCAGATCAGTGCAGAACTGAATCTAATGGAGCTGTGAAAAATTATGAAGAAGCTATATGGGTTTCAAGGCCAGCACCTACTTTAAGGTATTTTCATTGTTCAATCAGTGAGATTATGATTTAAAAATTCAATGTAATTTATTCTTTAAGGTAAATAATAAGCAACTCTATGGTTTACATCTATCTAGCTCTTATACTGTACTTCTACCTGTATTGCCATGGAGTATGCTCATGTTATCATGCCTAACCATCGACAATGTACTGTGGCAAAATATATGGTTGTACACTTTAACTGTACATTGTCATATTTGTATCAAAAATTATGATGTTTTAAAAGATTAATTTAAGGAATATTAAGTAGAATTTCATGTTTAATTTTATATACATGCTCTTCGCAAGACTTTTAACTTTCTCAATACTTTAATAGATTCTCGAGCAATACTCAAATTTTTTCTCGATAATTCCACCCACATAGTTGACCAGTTCAAAAATGTTGGTTATATTCACATGGATATGGGTGGAATTACCTAGAGAAAATTTGTGCTCTGCTTGAGAATCTGTTAACGTAATTAAAAAATTCTTGCCAAGAGCATGCACATTAAACATGAATTGAACATGAAATACTCAAACATATTCCTCAGATAAATATTTTAAAACCTACATCACAATTTTTACTTCAAATTACTACTTTTTGTCACTGTATGTTGTCAATGGCTAGGCGTGACGTTATAAGCTTGGTAATATTTAAAGGAATAACAATTAACTACAGTACATGTACGTGCCGATGCCCATATATCCCCCTTATGTTTCCAAGATGTACAACCTGTAATCAATTAATGTATTACTGTATTTTTTTATTTTCATAGGGACAATATACCTTTACTTACTGTTGAAACAAGGAAGGCCAGCATATGTAAGAGACCACAATGTAAACAGAGTGTGACATCACCAACTACATCTAGATCTTACTACTGGACAAGGCAACACTCAGTCGAAGATGCAATACTTGTAATACATTTTTACATATTTATTGAATTGTTGATTCAAATTGTTGATGAAAAACTAGCTGCATAGGTCTATTGACATAGGGTCAGAATCGGCTTTGGCATGAGTTAGAAACCTGTCGACATCACAATTAATCACAGTACAGTTTAATGCAGAAATGCAAGAAAATATAGAGCACACCACCTTACTCTGTTTCAGACTATAAGCTCTGTGAATCTAGAAAGTAAAACACAAGTTTGATTAGAGTTCTCTTAAGTTTTTCCCAAATGAACATTTACTATTTTAACACTACATTCCTTGGTGTTCAGATCTTCTTTTCTTCTTCCAAACTGCTAATCTCCATTAAATATATGCTTCTTTAAATTATTTTCCAGACTTCCAAAATGGATGACAAAAAGTGTGCTATATTACAGAAGCATATAATCGCCATAGTGATAGCCAGTGGAACTGATCCAATTATTCAGCTTGAAAACTTTGTTAAACCCTTGAGGACAATAGATAAAGACTATGATGATTTGAGGCCAATAGTTCTTGTTGGTGACAGATATTACCTGGAGAGGGAGTGGGCTAGTTTACAACATTATCCAAAGATTTATATTCATGAAGTAAGATCATCACTGGAATAACTATTAGTATAATTCATGTGTTTCAGGTATAAATATCATCTAGTAATCCAAGTATATTCAAACATAAAGCCTTATATTCCATGTAATAATTGGGTACGAATTGCAAATTGACCATACACATATATTGGTTGTATAATGCCATTTTTCAGTTCCAAACGACCCAAACAACAGATAAGGTCCTTGACTTCAAAATGTTTAAGTACCTGATATCCATATTTTTCAGAGTTACCCCATTTTACCTCAAGTTTTAGAAGACGTGAATATTAGACAAGCGTCATCCTGTGTCATCCTTTCTGCTGCTAGAGGGAGCTGTTCACACCCAGAATTACGGGACAAGGATGTTGTCATGTGTGCCTTGGAAGTGCAGTCCCTACTTAGAGAAAACCTGGATTGCAGAATGGTGAATTATGCAGGTGCATCAAATCCAGGTTAGACATAATTAATATAAGGAAAGGAACTACTTTTATATGTAGATATGGTACTAGCCCACCAGAAAATATCAGTGTTCATTCATATTTCAAGTTTTTCTCAAAAAGTGTAAATGAACTGCTTGAATTTTGGTGTTTATACAAGTTTGATAGTTGACGTCATGCCTGTTTATCAAATGGCAGATAGTTACATTATACTGCAAACCATTTAAATTTGTACGTGCATAATGTATGGTACTAAATTGGGTGGATTCTAAAAGATTTGTTTGCCTCATGTTACTTCAGAATACACTGTGCAATCATCAGACTACAACTTTTCTCCAACACCAACTAAGACAAACCTTCTAGTCGAGACAGCCAATGATTCCAGCGTGCAGTATCTAGGCAGAGAAAGCACACTGTCCATAGCCATCATGGATTCACTCGTTGTGTCAGTGAGTATAATCATACTAGATTGTATACAACACTCACAATTGCATGTCAAACACTGCTTATGGACCCATATGTCCATAGAGGGAAAAGAATGTTTCAAACAACATTCATTTCAACATATCCAAAACTTAAAACTTTTAATTTTTTTTTAATTTTTAAACCTTTGAAACTTTCCCGGGAGCAGGATATATTGTATCTGCCTGGAGCGGGACATATACAATATATCCTGCCCGCTCCTTAGATATGATGTATATTCCCAGGTGATATCTACCCCGAACCCACTCAAGTATGAGATACTGGTTGATATTTTCTAGACATATTACTCCCCCTGTGTATCCATGGTGGTTAATACTTTGTCCAGTGGTAGCAGTAGTGATGTAGCATCATTCACAAATCACAAAGGGGAGCAGACCAGTAGGAATCAAGTCACAACAATAACACTTGAGGATGGAGAATATTCTGAGTATAAGGTATACAGTATTGAATAATAGATCATTTCATTTAAGTTTTAAAGTGAAGATGAACCATGTTGTCACTTGAAATAACATGTTGTTTGATCTTTTCTGTGACATAATAACATTGTAATATGACCTTAAAATCAGTTGTGGTGAAAGTAACTTTCAAAGGCAATTTACATAAAAATATGTGTCTGAGCGTTGGCAATGTTTACTTTCAATTTCAACAACTTATTCTTTTATATTCAGAATGGTTACTATGGGGATCTATTTTCCCATGCACTAGTGACCAATGGTGTGTTGTGTCTGGGAGTACGGAGAAAGTGCAGCCAAACCTTTGGGCAGGAAAACAGGAGAGTCATCACAAATCCACAAAGCAGTTTTAGACTGAATTCTTCTGACAGTGTAAGAAAATGAACGATCTGATACAAAAATCTGGATCCTTAATTTTTGATTACATATACTTTTAATTGCCACTATTGTTTGATTAATATTGTATTTTGATATAGTATTTTTGTGTATTTACACTTGTATTTTCTGGACCATGATTCTTATTTATTTATTAACCATCAATGAAGATGACTTGGACATTTTGAAACAAAGTGAAATTTATGAGCAAAAATATAGTAGACATATTTTATTAACTTGTTCAGCATCAGGTCTGGGAACCCCTCCCTCCCTCTGACCCTCCCCATCTACATGTACATGGCTTTCCCTCTTGGAGTGGTTAGTAGGGAGGGGGGGGGGACTGGGGCAATGGTATTGAACTAAAATATTGAAGTAATTGCTCTCTATTTTCAGGTATATTGTTTGTTGCCTCAAGAAAACCCAATGCAGGACAATGGGAACATTACCATATCTGAAATATGATCAAGATCACAATCTGTGGTGTGAAACAGTGGCAGGATTTAGTGGAAATGCTTATTGGAATAACATGTTAGATTTGAAACTTTGCTAATGTATATATCATCGAATGGGATTTTAGGTCTGCATTGTATTGTATTTTCGTTACCGCCATATTTTGGCGAGCAGTACCTCATTGGTATATTCCATATTTTACTTACGAGAACATGTATTTACACTCGAAGACAGAGCCAGTAACCCCTCCTAGGAGGAGCCCTGTGTTCTATGTGCTCCAAATACACAGACATACAAGGACACACAACAGCCTTTTTAAAGTTGTGGGTCAAACACCCTGAATTACAAAATGCACAAATTTGTCTGAATCGGGAATCGAATGTGGGTCAGCAACAGTGGTAACCTTGGCTCTGCCAATGAGCCATAGTAGATGGACTAAAAAGGAATTAAGGACAGTTATGGTTAAATGTTTGATTTGGTATTGATCAGTAAAGCTGAATTTACTATTGGAGTTGTTGCCACAAAATTACTAAACTATAGACATACACAGGACTCTTGCTGGAGAATTTTAAATAAATGTAGCTTCAGAACTAAAGTACCATATATCTCCAAATAAAAATGCTTTCTACGTGCCTGAATATCATAATTACTCCATATTTATATACAAAATGTAAATATACTTATTAATTAAATGTTTTTCATTTAGGAGACTATATGTAGCATATATATATATAAATTATTCATAAATCTTTTGAAGAATAAGGAAGCATCTCAAAAGTTCAATGTTTGATGGATTACTAACTGTATTTGAACAGTTAATCTGTGACTCCTCCTCCCCCTTATAACTTTGTTTGGGAAATGTTGATTTCGTTGGTCACACTATATATTATAATTATTCACTGTCAGTAAGATGATTTTTAATGTTATTAACCCCCTTCCCCCTATAACTGTTCAAATACACTTAATTTTCTGACACCGATATTTTGAAATGCTCCCTAAAGTGATTCCCTGTTATATAACATACATGATCATACCGATGTTGACTTTGTGGTTAATAAATCAAACAATAGAATTAATATTTATTAGTTTCAAATATATCTGTATTTCCCCTCATATATACAATGTTTCCACCCTCTTATATTATGTACAAACTTAAAATACATGATATTGAACAGCCAATTACAAAAAGATTTTCTTCATAGTTATAAACTGAAGTGAAGTTGATGTAATCCCAGGGTCTCATCTTCTCAAAGTTTGTAATTTCTGGAAAGTTGGCTTAGTTTTGTGAAAATATCATAGTTCACATTGTAAATTCATTGAGACAACTGATATTTGTCCACAAATCAGTTTATGGACGACTCAGAGTCTTTGACTAGTTATTCTCGTAGAATTAGGTAAGCCATGATTGTAAGCTTGCAAACTGACCTCTTGTAAGACTAAATCTAATACATTTAATCTTATTAATATATTTTCCATTGTATCCAGGTCTCCCCCAGTACTTTCCAACATAAGCTATAAATAAAAACTTGCAATAATTTCAATACATTATCAACTGAAAACATATGTAACCTTGTCATTGTATCTTTCAACAATCACCTTCAACAACCTTCACAAGTCCATATGCTTCAAGAACAACACGTCGGCATGGTTACTGGACTAACATACATCCAATGTTTAAATTTTCAAAAGCGATTTCAAAATGTCTGCCATATTAAATACTGTAGTAATAATAATGATTATCTACAACTTTTTGCATACACATACTTTGTATGTACAAATGCTATAATTTAATAATAAAAACAACACCTATTATGAATTTATCAAAAAGGTTACAAAATAGGCAAACAAAAAGTGCACTAATCATAAAACAACAATTATATGCATTTGATACTTTAAGGCTGATTATTATGTTGCACTCTGTATTATACGATGAGTTAATACAAAACATGTTCACGTACATGGGATCAAAAACAGTTGGAATGACAATTCACTATTTAAATTAACATTAATTTAGTTTACAACAGTCATCTTAAATAAAATACAGTAAACCTGACATTGTGATTCAAAACAGGCATATGTACATGTTCATTATGGCAACATTTCAAACTGCATTGAATCCAGTAGATACATATTATGTATCATGTCATGTATTGGTCTTCTGTAAACAAGCTTAACAGTCCCAAGAGAGGAATATAATGTATAATTTTTCAACGATGTTATACAGTGTGGTATTGAAAACCAAGCATTACTTTTGAACTCCTCAAATACAAGACATTTAGTGAATGGATCTTGAGTCACAGGATGTTCAATACTATAAGTTATAGAATGATTTGAAGTGCAATACAGGTTATATTCTGCTCGAGAAATTCCGTATTGGAACGAGACAAAGTCGAGTGCCAATACAGAATATTGAGACAGAATACTAGTATATCCTGTATTGCACTTCAAATCATTCAATAACGTTTTTATCGGGTGATCCTCTGTATTGCTAGTGAGATTGTCCCCTCCGTACCAATATTTTCTGTATTGCAACGGAGATGATCAACGGGGACAGTCTCAGTAGCAATACAGGTTGGTACAGCACAAGAACTGACCAACAATCAGAAGGCTTCAATTTACAGATCATACGATAAATGCCTTTATTGCTCTAAATTGAACTGATGAAACAGTTTGAAATTCACATCATTTGGAGACCTAAGTGTCAACAATATATTAATATTCTTATCAGCCATTCTATAGCAGAATATGGTTTAGATGAGGAAGCATCTTTAATCGATTTAAATTTTCTAACATTTTATTAACAGGAGAAAAATCAAAGATGATCTCTCGTGGAATGGTGTCTATTACTCCCGATGTGCAGGAGATCTTCAACAGTTCTAAATTGGACAGTCCAAAAGTCAATTTGCCATATTGTAGTACAAACATAATCTGAGACTGGAAAATCATATTATCTAAAAATCTTATGGCACAAAGTGAAACTTCTGGATTACGAGTTTGTTCACAATAAATCAACTGGCACCTTATACCTAATTAATCCACTATTTCACCTTTATATAACATTGCATAATAACACTACAATACTGCATGTTTGTCTACCTCAATGGCTCAAGAACTTTTCTTTTTCTTATTTGGTTAATACAGTTAGATGTTGAATTAAACGCTGATGCCATGTATACCTCAGCTTCTATATTGTGGGGAATCAGCGTTCAGGTATAATTCACTAAGAACCCTTAGACAGCTCAATCCATTCAGTTCAAATTGATCGAACAAGTGTATGATTTACTTTAAGAACCCCTAACTGTCTAGTCCGTATAATTTGGACCAGTGAGTATATAATATTTTAAGAATCCTCAAACTGCTCAGTCCATATTGATTGGATGAGAGCGACACAATGAGAATGACAATAAGTCAATAATATATATTATCTACATAGGTTTTCCATTGTGTTACTTTAATTTGGAATGTAACTTGTTTTATCTACATTGTTGATGTCCTAGATATAGTTCATTTTAAGTATTATGCAGCAAGGCTAGACTAAGATACACATTATTTAGGGGAAATATATAAGTATACACTCATACACCAGCACTCTTAAAAATGTGTACCCCAACCTCCCCATTATTGGTAAAAACATATACCATTTAAATGTACTGGTATATTTAATATGTGAGCTGTAATACTGTACTTAATATATACTTAATATGTATGTACTATCATTTGGTGCCATTTGCAACATTTTCCATTTTAAGTCAAAGAACTTCTTCCTAATGATAATCATCCTCCAAACGCATCCTCCATACATCAACCACTACGTTCCTTCCTTTTTCTGGAAGAACGAGGTCCAAGTTCTGGAAGCCTGCGTTTGGAGGATAAATGATAATGAAAATAAGCATTTTGCTACGGTCAAAGCTATTGCTTTCTGTGTAAATTTTAGGTTTGATGTTGTTCATTTGTTAAGATCTTGTCATGTTACATCGTTCATCTTTGTCCAAAACATGATGAAATTCCTCACTATGATCAATAATAAATATATCAGATCCCTCATAACACTATCCATAACATATTTTTATGTATCTATATAACTTCATATCACATTAGGTATGTCTCACATAATTGGTTACCTTCTCAAATTTTTTGGATGACTAATTTTTTCTTTTACTTCTTCCGCCATAGGCTTTAATTTCTCAACATAGTCCCCATGTCTTTTCTCAGATATTGTAGCTAAAAGTCCCCCTTCACATTTAGGCTTGTTACCATCTGAATAGTCTATATAGCTACCATCCAGTGTTGTCATTTTGCCTTTTATGGCATTTAATATTGCATTTCCTGCACATATATCCCATTTCTTAATGAGTGTTGTATGAACATAGGCATCAACGTTACCCAGGGCAACTTCTATAGATTTAAACCCTGAAAATATTGAGATAATAGAATGTTATTTTACAACTATAGTTAAATACAATTTGTCTCTTTGTCATGCTTCAAGCCGCATCAAGCAAATATCAAATCACATATCATATCAAAATTCTTCAATAGGTCCATCACAAAAAAACAAATTAAATATCTTATTTTTAAATTAAGAATTTATCATCATTTATATTGTGAAACTCTTGTCATGTGTTAATGAAAAGGTAGTACAGTATAACCAACCATGCAATTTGGTACAGTAAACCCTGTTACACTAAAAGGTGTTTGGTGTTCCATTTATAAAGGTTTGATCAATATTAATCGGTGTGTCACAGAATGTGAACTGGTTTCATTTTACAAAGGTGTTCTGCAGGGTGAGCCAAAAAACAGTAACCAAAACATTAAAATTTGTTTGGTCTTTTTTGACTCACCCTGTACTTTACTGATTTAACTGAATTTTAGTCCTGTCTCTCACAATTATTCTTTGAAATCTTACCTGCTCCACCTGCTGGGACAACTTTGGTTTTCTCACCAAATGTTTTCTTTGCAATACTTTCCACTTCACCAGCATGTGACCTAGAGACTATAATCTTGTATTCGTTCCCCTCTTTCTCTTTATCCTGGTCTTCTGGCACTATAAGATTCTTGGAGTGGCCATAGCCTTCCCATGCCCATACTGCAAGTAGTCAATTACAATGGTGATGGGTGGTCAAAATATATTATATGACAATACTCCAGAATCTGGGTTTTTACTGAAATATTGCAGTTGAGTTTATACAAACATTTTGTCTTTCTCAAAAATTTACTACACACATCATTGCCATTGATTTCATAAGGCTGCAAATGTCAGCAAACCTTTTTAACTGCTACAACAACAACTCTAGGGTATGGTAAATTCCATCATACAATTTTGTCAAGCTTATTTACATTTTCTTGATCTTTTTTATATGACACATACCAGGTCGTTCAATAAGTTCACGGAAAAATGCTCTCATTTCAAAGATTCTTGATATTTTCCCATAAAATTTTCACACAATGTGCAAAAAATACTTTCTCATCGATTCCTAAAATATCAGCATCTCATATTTGATTGGTCAAAAACAAGGGTTACTATGGTAATTTGACTTTTGGGTAGGCGGGGCACTTTTTACGTCACACTATTTACCATTACAGATATCTATCAATATGTGCAAATGAAGGATCCCTATTTTTTATTTGTTCTTATTTATATTACAAATGTTCTGAGGGAAAATTGATGTTCATTGTTATCACGAACATTTCTGAAATCATGCTAGTCAATGCTGTACCAGTGGACCAGAAAATCAACAAAGAGTAATGCTATGGAAAGTTGATTAAAACTTAACCATCCAGCCAAACTCTAACTTTTTCCATCGGGATAATGCAGCCGATCACACTGCTAATATTGTGCAGGAAACCATCACAATTAATTGGCAAAATAGATGGCAAAGCTGCCCCAAGCTACATAATCTCCAGATGAGATAATCCTTGATTTTGCTGTTTTCACGAGGATGAAGGATCAGCTAAGAAGTGCACTTTATGGAACAATGAAACAACTTTCGACTGTAGTCAAGATTGCCTTTTAAACAAGTTTTCCAGATGGCTTCAGAGCACTGTATCGTCAATAGGCTAAATGCAAGCGACTGTGCATTAAACATGAGGCGGGAGAATATTTCTGAAACCTTATGGGACAATAGTTGTAACTATTACATTAAGTTATATCATGTACAAGTAGAAGAGGAAATTCATGTGATATGTATACTCACAAATTGCCTACTATTCTTTTGTTTTTCTAATAAATAATCAATGTGACGTAAAAAGTGCCCCGCCTACCCAAAAGTCAAGTTACCATAGTAACCATTATTTTTGACCAATCAAATAAGAGATGCTGATATTTTAATATTCAATCAGAAAGTATTTTTTATTCATTGTGTGAACATTTCATTAGAAATTATCAAAAATCTTTGAAATGAGAGCATTTTTCCGTGAATTTATTGAACGACCTGGTAGTCATGTTTATTACTCCAAGGGATATCAAATTATTGCTAAAATCATGGTATGTCCCTTTAATATATAATATTAGGCAAAGGTTATGAAATCTTGTGTTTAACATTATAATTTTGAGTTGCAGAAGAATGAATGATTTTTTTATTTCTTTAGTACCTTTATATCTATGTATAATCAAACATAAAGTACACTAGTTTTGGTATGCTAGGATAATGGTCTATTTTATATCATTAATGGACATAATCAACAGAAGTTTGAAATGAATAAGCTGAGACATGCTAAACATTATTTTCATTTACCTTTGCCTTTTATGTATTCAATTATAACCTACTTGTTTCTCCCTCCCCTTTCTGAGCGAAGGGTTTGTGTATGATCCCCATGACAGGACGTCCCCTCAATGCTACACATGTCATCACAGTAACATACTCTGTAAGCTTTTCTAAAATGAAACACATCAAAGGAATTAAAAAAATACAGAATGATTTTCATGATCCTAGAGATTTTGAACATGAAAATTACACAGCTTTTTTTGATTTTTTTCCTGACAAATCTAATTTTAACATAAAATGACAGAAATGCTTTAAAATGCAATAATGGCAATTTTGAAGTGATAATATTAAAGTTTGTTTCAAGACCGCATATCGTGAAATAACTTCAGTATTTGAGTACTTAATTCCTTTCTAATTGGACATATTTTAATTTTGGTATTTTTGGTGTCATACAATTCCTTGAACAGATCTGGGAGTACTTATTCAAGGTTATTCAAAATCTGTACTACCTGTGCACATTTTGTGTAATTTGCATTCATAAGAACAGGACAAAATACTTAGGTCCTCGCATATAAATCATTTAGGCCAAGAAAAATACTCTCATTCCTGGTCAACAAGCTTCAAAATTAACACCTTCCTGCCGGACTAATTTTTTTCCTTGAACCTTTGCCGCCAAACTCTTATCACAAAACTTCCTTGGCCAATACTCTGCGATTTTACTCTCACTTTAATAATCATCAAAATATGTAAGATAACATTCTCACATGTTTTAAAAACAGACATAATGTTGCCTTACAGGTGATACTATTGAATGGGCATTTAATTTGAATTATTGATCTTAACCAACAGCTTCATCCAACAATTCATCATAAATTACCATTTGAAGTACTTCACACAAGTACAAGCTTTACATGTAAGCATATGTTTTGGTAATAAACAAGTATTGATTCGCAGCATGTATGAAAATACCATTTTTAGAAATTATAGAAGAAGGTTTTTAGCAATAATTATAGATTTTTACATGACTAAGGGTTTAACACAGTGAAACCTGTAAAGGTGAACACTTCTACAAATGGGACACTTCAATAAGGAAAACTTTAAAGGTGCCAAAGGTGTTTCGCTTATACAGGTTTTACTTCTTGTATTCACTTTTATCATTGACTTGTAAAGGAAAAACTGTAAAAAATTTCCTAATCATCATTTTCCCAATCGAATTTTTCCCAATCACCATTTCAGTTTATAATGTGTTTATGGACTGGGATTTTGAACCAAATGATATATAGATATGTTAGTTAGAGTATTCATGTAAAATTACATCAATATTTTGATCTGGTCCCTTTGTTAGAAAGAAATCAATATCTCACTACATGTTGATTCAGGAGTAAAAACATTAAATAACCTGTTACATTGAAAGAAATACATTACTTCATGGCTGTGTAAATATAGAATAACAGCATAGAATAAGATTTCTGAGAAACACTTTTCTAAAATAAACATTAATATTAAACTATCAAAAAATTAAAATGTTCAAAATCCTGTGATGCCATTGCTGTACAATGCAAGAAAGGAGATGTAGTTTGTCACCCTTGTCTTTCCAATCAAGATCTATCAATTATTTCGCATTTGAAAGAGCCTATGGATTGGCATTCAGAGTTTTAGTGGATTTTGAGTGGACCAACATGAAAAAAAGTTCAGCAGTCCAATGCGGACATTCCTGAAGTCAACCATGTGCATCCTGAAGTTAATGTACATAATCTCATGCATTATGTTTTGTATCATGAGACCTTGTGTGATGCCGTTAAGTTCTGCTATTCTGTGTGACATTCCAAAAAGTCTCAGAATAATTAAAACTTTGAACAGCGAAAATAAATTCTTTTGTACATTTGCATTTGTGATGCATCTTATTTGTCTTGAATACTCAAATATAATTGGTTACTATTTCTGAATTTTTCTTTTTGAGCCAATCAGAACACTTATAACAAAACATGACAAAGCTTTTAAGAAGAGAGTAGTATCTAACATTGGACTATCTTAATAATTTCATTTCTTTCTTTCTGGTTTGATAGGTCAAAAAAACAATTTAGAGGCAATTCAAATTACAGGAAACCAAAAGCTAGCTATCATTTAATTCAAAGTCTTCAAAAAGTCAATGTCAGAGTCTAGAAAAAGCAACTTAAAGTAAGCTATATTAATGGGACCATCTTTATGTTCTTTATGATTAGATTTTGATGAGTAACATGCAACGTGAAAACGTCTTGCCACCTGACAAAACCCCCTTTCTATAGGACCCTGAAAGGGCTGGCATGATTTTGAAAAGCATACCATTTGTATCTTTCTTGATATTAGAGTATGACATTCTGGAATATAACAGAAATCAAATCTGTTGAACTTACACCCATATTCCAAAATAAATGTCAAAAAACAAAAACATTATCATCCGATGCACCTACTAGAAAACTATGGACGGCAACTAAAACATCAATGTATAATAAATTCAAACCTGTGTATTCTTGTGTTGCATCTAAGGGGTCCATCCAGACTGTGACATCATCTAGGGCTACTTGGCTATCAGAATTTGTCCTATCCAGTACCTCAGCAAGACGTTTACTGACTGTTGGAATTGATTTAAAGTCAGCTGGTTCATGTTCATGCTCTTCAGAGACAACCTGTATGAATGCAATTCATAATGTAAACTTATAAAAACTTATATAAAAACACCACAGTAATAGCCTTTGATGGGACGATATGCAGGAAATAGGTCGGGAAATCTATCATGCCAGGGGCATGCCAGGTTCATTTTTTTGGTTTGCTCTTTCATGAATGTGCAAAAGTGAATAAACTTAACTCTATTCCTTAACGAAGAGCTAGTAGTTTGAAACGCTCGCAGAATTTACTGACTCAAGAAGCAAAATGAACATATGACCTCTGCAATTTGAGATAACTGGAACTTTTGTGACTTTGACAGAACATAGGGAATGAATGTTAGCATCTATTGAAGTAAACAAGATAATCCAGTGAAAACTGATCTACTTTTTATGAAAGAAAAAGGCCATGAACAAAGCAACATGTTAATTTATATGACATCATAGATTAATATAGAATCAATATTGATGTACATGTATGTGATGTTAAGATTATCTGTTTGTTTAGTTGTCGCTGGGGAAACATGTGACTGATGTCATAATTGATGTGATATTTCATATCTTCGAATCACAACCTCATCATATGACGACTTGATAGTTGCCTTACCAACTCGCCATATAAGCTAATAAAGACGGGCTTACTGAACTGGAAGTCCCATGAAGGGTTCAAGCCTGATCCATAGAAAGGATGCTCCACCCAATCCGTGTAGGCCTTCGTAAAAATGGGTGTATGCACTGATACACAGACATACAAGTATACACTGCAGCCTTTTATACAAGCTGTGGACCACTCAGTCAAACACCCAGAATGAGATAACGCACCAAAAAATTTGTCTGAACTGGGAATCAAACCCGGGCCAAGCGATAGTGGTAACCTAGCCTCTCCCAATGAGCCATAGCGAGTGGACCGAAAGTATAGACTTTTGAAAAATAAGTGGCTTAATGAGACGTCTAAATTAGTGAATAACATAAGGTAAATGTAAGTCTATATATCTATCTATGTCTAGGCCTATAGCTATTCCCGTACATGTAATGTAGCTATTATTCTATTGAATAAATTTTGAATTTATCAAGTTTTAATCTACATGACACAATTTTTAGCTCTATTGATACTTACATTTATGCCTGGAAAGGATTTGAAGTATCCATAGTATATAGCTCGATGTGATTCCATATCACCACTTGTGACATACTCATTTTTACCCTGTTGAGTTTTTCCCTTGACTTTTTCTGCCAAGTTGTCATCATTTCTGATTTCCCTCACTCTTTCACCGCCTCTTTTTGCAAGTTCAATGCTGACTGACAATAGTTCTCTCATGCTAATAGTTTCCCGCCTTTTAAATATATCTATTCCACCTAATAAGTAGAAGACAACACTGCCAAACAAGACTAGAATCAGGACAATCCCGATAGGGTTTACCTTGACACTTACTGCAGCCATTCTGAATCTCATCCTACGTTGGAGATCCACGCTATCGTAAATTCTCCTCAACATCATTCCTCATTGAACTTGCAAGAAGTTGGATTATGTAGGCTTTATATAATTCTTGAAGTATTTTTCTGCTATTGTTAAAGCAGATTAAAGATCTATTGTTACCTAATACGGTTTGTGGCATTTCAATATTTTATACGAAACTTCGGTCAATGTAATCAGTACAATGGAGGTATGGAAAAATATTTTTTCTCTCTTTTCCCCACTCAAGGCTTCAATGCGAAGATGTATTGCATAACGATGCTTCTATGACATTTCATCTATTTTATCTTATCAATTTACTTCGCAACACCATTGAAAACAATTACTGATGCAGATTATTTTTGATGTTTTTTTCCTGTCAAATTTTCCTTCTTCTTGTTCTTCCATGGGGTTTCAACTAGATCTAGAATCTAGTTGAAAGCCCATGGTTCTTCCAACCTGTATCTATTGCAAGACTTATGCCTTGTACAACCGTCACCATGTTATAAAGTGTTTTTAAGTTCCGCAAGGATTCTGCCATGACCGCGGTAGTGTAATCCTGAAAGCCGAGTAGTCTATAACCGTGACAATGCAATATTATATTGCAATGCAAGGCCTGTCATGACCGACCGTGGTTAGTAAGCCTTATAGTGTAGTATAGTAGTAGTAGTCTAGATTTACATATTTAAGGTAGTTAAACGATGAAATATTTCATTACGGTATTCTCATGCTACTAAAGGTCAGTTAATATACCGATTGTCACGGTCACATCGTGCTTTAACATTACCACAGTCATGACAGGCCTTGCAACCATTGTCACGGTCATATCAGGCCTTAACATTAGGCTTTAACATTATCAGACTTTAACATTACCACAGTCATGACAGCCCTTGCAACCACTGTCGTGGTCAAATCAGGTTTTAACATTAGGCTTTAACATTATCAGGCTTTAATATTAACTGGGTCTTGACAGGCCTTGCAACCATTGTCACAGTCATATCAGACTTTAATATTACCACGGTCATGACAGGCCTTGCAATATAATACAACATTGTCACGGTTATACCAGGCTTTCACGATGACACTACCACTGTCATGGCAGGATCCTTGCGCAACTTAAAAACACTTAATAACATGGTCACGGTGTGCCAGGCATAAGTTTTGCAACAGATAGGGTCTCCTTCTTCCTCAGAGTGGTAACCGGTCATCTCAACCCCAAGTCAAGTCAACCCCAATAAAACTCAACCCCAAGTCAAGTCAACCCTGTAAAACTCAAACCCAGTAAAATTCAACCCTATTCATTTTTGCGATGTCTGTATAATTTAATTTTACAATGAGTAATTTACATCTATGCCCAGAAAGTACTCATGGTGAAAGATATGACTGTCTAAAATCACTTGCCATACTGCACATGGACCTTTATTGTCAATAATCTTGTTAATTTGTAGTTGTTTTTTATCATGAAAAATCATTCCAAACTTTGATATTCTTTAGAGACGACTGCAGAAAGAATTAGCAGCACTACAAAAAGATCCACCAGTAGGAGTTCACATTGACGCAGATGATATAGGCAAAAATCTTACAGAGTGAGACTTATTTTATTACCTACATGTATTTGTGATAATTTTCCATTTTTCTTTACCTTATCAATTTAGGTATCAATTGTTCCATGTTTGCTTATTTTGCAACGAAATAACAGTTGTTTGATAATTTTCTACATTGTCTAGTAAATATTGTTTTCTTTAGATGGAATGTGAATCTAGATGGAGCTCCAGGATCTCTTTATGAGGGAGAAAAATATGTATTACTCTTCAAGTTTGGCAATAAATATCCATTTGATTCTCCTCAGGTAAGTTATCATATTGTTTTGTTTCAACAATCCACCATGTTGTTGTGTTTTAATAATCTACCATGTTGTGTTTCAGCAATCCACCATGTGGTTGTGTTTCAACAATCCACCATGTGATTGTGTTTTAATAGTCTACCATGTAGTTGTATTTTAATAATCCACCATGTGGTTGTGTTTCAGTAATTCACCATGTGGTTGTATTTTAATAATTCACCATATGGTTGTGCTTCAATAATCCACAATGTGATTGTGTTTTAATAGTCTACCATGTGGTTGTATTTTAACAATCCACCATGTGGTTGTGCTCCAATAATTCAGCATGTGGTTGTATTTTAATAATTCACCATATGGTTGTGCTTCAATAATTTACCACGTGGTTGTGCTTCAATAATTCACCCTATGGTTGTGCTTCAATAATTCACCATGTGGTTATGTTTCATTAATCCACCATGTGGTTGTGTTTCAATAAGTCACCATGTGGTTGTATTTTAATAATCCACCATATGGTTGTGTTTCAATAGTGTACCATGTGATTGTGCTAATGTGCTTCAATTATCCACCATATGGTTGTGTTTTAATAACGTTACCATATGGTTGTGCCTCAATAATCCTGAACACTATGGATTGCTACTGTTCTTATTAATTGATGCGTGTGACAACTTTTCATTTTGAATAAAAAAAATTAACATTTTTGGTATCCCTGGGAAAGACAACAATAAGACAAAGCACTTTAAACTTTACACGGGGCCTTTAACATATTCAACACTCTAGGGAGAGTGGTACTAATGTAAGATCACCTGTAAACTCATGTCACAATAGTGGGTCCCATGATACTCCATACTGACTTTTATTAAATAATTTCAGGTGATGTTTACAGGCTCAAGTATTCCAGTGCACCCCCATGTATACAGTAATGGCCACATATGCCTTTCAATCCTCACTGAAGATTGGTCACCAGCTCTTTCTGTACAAGCAGTATGTCTTAGTATTGTCAGTATGCTGAGTAGCTGTAAAGAGAAGGTATGCATACATTCTTAAAATATGACTCAATCTCTTATTCTGCTCCTGAAGTACTCCAGATTTTTGAAAAGCATAGTCATGTGATTTATAACTACATGTAGTACCATCATCATCATCACATTTTCTCTAAATATCAATCCTTGAACAAATTGCTCACTTAGTCGATAAATAGCACAAGTAAGAGTAAGAGGCTGGTATACTTTTGGTGGAGTATTTTAAGGTTGAGTCACCTTAGGGATGTTACAACTTAAGGTAACTCTCTTTTCAGTTACACAAAGTGATAACCTCTATGCCATTTTTTCTAAGGGCTGCACACGAGACGAAGCACAGATATTTTATCTAAAAAGATCTTGGATTTTTAGATTAAGTATACAGTAGATTACATTTTAGTTTAATTCACTACTGAAACTACAGTTCAATTTATTCAGTTGAAATACAGTTGACAACGGTTTGCATTTAGATGTTGATCCTCATCACTGCAGTTTTAGATTCTACCCTTATCATTTATAGTCCTAATTTATGCTTTCAGAAACGTCCTCCAGATAACATGTTTTACGTGAAAACTTGCAGTAAAAATCCAAAGAAAACCAAATGGTGGTATCATGGTAGGATTTATCTCATTTTGTATTGCTATAAATTATGCACTCTCTCAGTTGTAACTGTTATATATGATATGTATTTAAACTTGTCCTCCTTCAAATCAATAACAATTTCAACCAAGATTGTTTGAAATGATCTGTCTAATATCAGATATTGATATATGATTTGTCAGATTCATCAATAATTAGTCTTGATCAAATGTTGTCATTCTCTCTATTGAGGTCTCATATACATTGATAGCAACACTATAGTTTTGGTCTGGCCAGTATTCTATTCTTTCATTTGGAGAAACTGATATTCTACTCTATTTCTTTATTGATGAAATATTTGATTTGATCAATGCATCAACTCCATTAGAATGTAATTAGAAGATCTTTTTGACACACAGATTGTGACTCAACCTTACAATTGTGATCCTGAAAGGAATTATTCCAAGACGTTTTCCAATTTACTGTTGTAACCATGGCAATCACAATGAGGAATGAATATGAAATTCCCAAATGTCATGGCTAATATCTTTCAATACGTACATTTATCGTATGATCTGTAAAATGAAGCCTTCTGATTGGTCAGTTCTTGTGCTGTACCAATCTGTATTGCTGCTGAGATTGTCCCCATTGATCATCTCCGTAGCATTACAGAAAATATTGGTACGGAGGGAACATTCTCAGTAGCAATACAGAGGATCACACAATAAAAACGTTACAGAATGATTTGAAGTGCAATACAGGATAGATTCTGCTCTCGATATTCTGTATTGGCACTCAACTTCGTCTCATTTCAATACGGAATTTAACGAGCAAAATATATCCTGTATTGCACTTCAAATCATTCAATAACTTATAGTATATTGTCTTGATTAATAATTTGATTATTTCAAATTTATAGATGATGCAGTATGATGCTTGTTGTATCTGAAGAGGAACAGTGTACATACCATATTGAAACCCACCATCCTACAAAAACAAGTTGGCTAAGGTGAGCTGTAGCTAAGGAAACAATGCAATACAATATGCTATACTAACATTATGTACTGTATAAACAGTACTTGTATAATACAGATTGCATGGTTGGGGCGACATCAAGTTTCAATATAATTTATGATGACTTTTGAATTAAGATTTAACAATGCTCTGCTTAAGTTATCCCATCATGGGATTTGCTGTTTCTTGTTATGTTAATTCACTGTGTATATTTAAGGTAGACAGTTAATTAAGATTTAAGATGTTGATGTATTTATTGCTGTTGAGGATTGATGTGGTCCCTCCTGTACTGTATGGACATGTTATGAGGAGACAATGAGGTGATTTAGGAGGAGAATATACATGTATATACATGTAAAGTGCTTCATATTATAATTCAGCTTGATTATGTGATATTGCACTCAAGGTTACATTGAAGATAATTTCACTGTATGCATTAAAGATGCATTGAGAATAATTTCAGAATTTCAGGAGGGAAATACATGTAAAGTGAGATGCTTAATGTTATAATTCAGCTTGATTACATGTATCGTATTTAAAATCGCAATAAAGATACAGTGAGGATATTTTCAGGAGGGAAAATACATGTAAAATGAGATGCTTAATGTTATAATTCAGCTTGATTACATGTATTGTATTTAAAATCGCAATAAAGATACAGTGAGGATATTTTCAGGAGGGAAAATACATGTAAAGTGAGATGCTTAATGTTATAATTTAGCTTGATTACATGTATTGTATTGCAATAAGGATACATTGAAGATAACTTCACTGTTTGCATTAAGGATGCATTGAGGATAATTTCAGGAAAGAAAATACATGTAAAGTGAGATGCTTAACGTTAAAATGCTATAATTCAGCTTGATTACATAATGTTATTTTAAATATTACAGTTACTATACTGTACAATTGACATCATTTTTTCACAAGTCTTGACAGAGAGATAAACTGTATATATCACATATCTTTTGACTTAGAATGCTCGTACATGCATACCGTGAATAATGTCAGATAGATTTATAGATCACTATGAATGCTAATGAAGATTAAATAATGTAAATCACAATTTCATAAATATCAAACCAGATCAAATTGAGATAATGGTTAACATGTGGCTCTGCTCTGGGGTTTGATCATAAAATCTATATGGATCAATAAATGTAATTCTTAATATTTCGACTAATTTCTCCTACTTTTATTAATAATTTTTATTTAGAGAATTCAGATTGTTAAAACAAAGTGAATGACTTTTTGCCCAGTTCCACTAAATATAATAAATTCCTCTCTTGGTTGACAGGTGTTTTGAGTTGACCCCCTATATTACATGTATAGGCTTTAAAACTAATTGCAGTCATCAGTTTGTCGGTAAAATGAGTTCCATTTACACTAAAAGTCTAAAAATGAACCCTGGTTTATTTGATAAGAGTCATGTGGCCATATCTAACCAATTGCACGAGAGAATGTAATGATACACTGGTGGCTTGTTTCTGGTCATGTAAATGTGCTTCCATGGTATTTGGCTTGAGACATGGTCAATAATTTTTTAATTTGGCTGCTCACTATTCAAAATGGCTGCTGTTAATTGGTATTCATTTTTAGCTGTTTTTTTTTGCATTGAGAGGACCCATGGTCTGAAAAATGGCCCAGTCTCTAGCTTTGACCCTAAAATGTTTCAGAAATTGTAATAGTCTGCAAAGTGTACCTTCAATGTGTCGCTTTGAAAGAAACCATTTCTGCAAATATTACAAAGATTGCTAATCTAGTAAGTGGTATTTTTATGCATTTTATAGAATCAGAGATAGAGACTGATCTGAGTCACTAGAAATTTATGTAAGTAGAGTGTGACTGTTTGCGCATTGTATTACAATGCTAGCCTACAGCCCTACATGTAAAGGGTCAAAATCAATTGGCGGTATTATTTATTCCACTCTGCCTAGCTTAAGACGAGCACATAGTTTCTACTGTATAGGTGCAATCATTTAGAATAAATCCAGATAGTATAACATGGAAAATGAATTAGAAATTAGGAAATATAATTCAAGTAGATGTAGTTTATTAAAACAATGTTCGCTATTATCAGTATTCATGCCAAGATGTCACATTTGTAGTAAATATTATAAAAATTGTTTGGCATAAATATTTATTATTCTAATAAATAAATTATTATTATTAATTCATTTTTTAGTTTATTATTTATTAATTTTTTCAAACTTTTATTATTATTAATTATATTATAAAGTTGTTTTCTTTATATGAAAATCCAATGTAGGTGAGCAAACAAGAAGAAATGATGCAATTTTTAAATGCAAGAGTGGTAGCTTTTGAGATCTGGTCTGCTTAAGGAGGTTCACGAGTTATAAAGTTGTCTAATTAAAACCATTTCATTTTAGTGAATTACTAGTTTATTTGAAAACATAATTTTTGAAGAATTCCAAAAGCAATGATTTCAAACTTATTTGTAAAATATTTTAGTATAATAAATGAAGGAGCCTATGAATTTATGCTTATTATTTTGATTGAAAATTGAAATGTACCTTAATATTGTAAACCATAATTTTGTTAACCTCGTTAGGTAATACAGTACCTATAAATATTTCCCCAGAACAACTGCATCTTTGGTGAGAGGGTTGATTAATTCAAATGTTGTGGGATTTCATTGATTGTACTGTGTATTTCCAAAATATCTTACAAATTATTGCTTGGATTTGCTCCATAGTTCAACCTGTATACACCTGGGATGGTATGAGTGGCATTTACTGAAAGTAAAATGTGTCAAAATGATACAGACTAGAAAATGGGTGTTTTTGTCAATTTATTTTTTACTGACTTTTGTTGTTGTTGTTACACCATTCTTTTTTACCTAATCAAAATCAATTTTACTGAAAAATAAATGAATTTAATAAACCTTTTTCAATTTTCTGTCTTGCTGTTAAAAGTAATTGACTTATGCCAAAATTGCCCCTATTCATATAAGCACGATTTAAGCAACTTTGTACACATCAGAATTCTGTATTGGTATTACATCTTTATTCCTGACACACCAAAGTGTTTTTTTGGAAACAAGATTCATGCAATTCAATGAGAAAGATGTCTCTACAATAGGTTGAAAAATGTGCAAAATTACAAGCTTGGGAATCTTTAAAGGCTGCACCCAGTTGGCTTATCAACTGTGACATGAAAGATATATGTGTTTGTATTGTGGTAATGCTCATATCATTGATGTCATAGGGAATTTTCTGGAGTGTTTCAATGCTTAAAGTTTGGTTTAGTTATAGATCAAACTGAAGTTGCAGAATCATACTAAGCATATATTTATAGTCAAATTATATGTTAATCATATTACTGTATGTTGACCTAGACTGGTTTGATTTTTTCAGACTGCTTTGATTTTTCATCATCCCCTTAAACATATTGTTATTTCCTCAGTCTGGTATGATGTGGTTTCAATTTCAATCTGGATCCAGAAGACCATGTATTTTGGAACTCTTATATCTCAATATACCTCTCCATGGGCGTAGCGCCTGGTACGCTGGGTACGCACGCACAGGCGTACCAGATGGTTGCAAATGCACTCCAAATACAACCAAATTTCAAATTTCTCCTGGGGAAGAACCCCAGACCCCCCTAAATGCTCATTTTTTGATTCACTCAGCTCTTTTTCCCGTGGTGGCGGCATACTACTTAGAAAAATAGCGCTACGCCCATGCTCTCATTGGTTATTATTACCTACCTAAGAATGGATCTACTCCTACTTCCATCTTAGTAATTGTCTCGGAACAGTTAATTGAATTACCTTAGAGCCATAAGCATCTTCTATACCAAGGGGAATTAGAATGAACCCATCATGTTTTATTTTTATTCATAGGGGCTTTAAATGGGATTCTAAAAGCTATTAGCAGTGTGATGGATGGGCGTCCTAAACCTACATCGGACAATGGATGGGTTCCGTCAAGGAGATTACTGGTGTACTGCATAATTCACTGTAGATATCATGGCTGTCTAATATTGCAACTGGGGTCTCATTAGTAATGATCAAAATATTTTTGAATTGTATGCTACTCTTAAACATGATTTGTAGAATAGTGTATCCTTTTAATGTTGGGAAATTATTTGGAGGGAGAGATTTTCCTATCCTCTGAGGAATATTGGAAATGAGGGCATTAACCTCCATGTTATCTTTATGATAACCAAAGACCCATGAATATGTGACTGAAGCCTATGTCAAAAGTTATCAATTTTTAATCCATTATCTTACTGTCTTAATGGGAGTGTATACTTGTAGACATTCGGCACAAGACAAAACAACCATCCTTGTTTTTATATAATTTTAATTGTTAAATGTGAAAAATAATGTATTTTACAAAATGAAATACAATTTTAACAAATCAAACAACATAGTTTAACATATTGTAAAACACAGTCTGTACCTTATTGTAGAGCACAGTCTGTAGCATACTGTAGAACACAGTCTATATATAACATATTGTAGAAAACAGTCTATACCATATTGTATAACACAGTCTATACCATATTATAGAACACAGTCTATAAGATATTGCAGGCTACTGTCTATATCATGTTTCTGAATACAGTCATTGCCTTTGTAGTTATCCTACCAAACGAAGTTCAGGAGGGATATAAAGAAACTATCCATCTAATCCATTCATCTGTCCATTATTATGTTTGTCTGTCCGAGCATTGACTCAAATACTGGTTGACAGATTGTATAAATTGATGCTTATGGGCATAGGTCCTCTTCTCCAAGAAGGATTTCTAATATGGCTGCTCAATTCCAAATTTTCTAAGAAATGTAATCTTTGATAACTCAAATATCAATTAACAGACTTTGTTCAAATGTTATATACTGATGCCTCTGGGACATAAGACCTCTGCTTAGAAAGGCATTTTCAAGATGTCTGCTGAATTCAAAATGGCCACTGAATTTAAAAATAGGTGGGTTAATAAGGGTGTCTTTCAGATCTCTCCCAGAAACTAATGAAACAACAATGTTTAGTTATCTCTGTTGTTCAGAGTCACTTTAAGGCTTCTATACTAAAATTCTGACATCTCATCTGAGATGTATTCAATCATTAATAAGGCTTGGCATGCTACTAATAGTTCATTAATATTGCACATCTAATGTACACAATTATGTGCACCTTTAAGATTGTTTACTGAGCCAAAGTGATTCCATTTGAAGTATTCTAGACTAGTAGTCAAATACTACTTCCTCTTCCAATATTAAATAACTGTCCTGTGTCTAATAATAGTAAAGAATGGAGAATAGAATAACACTTTATTAAATATTCTAGTAAGTGAAACCCCAAATGACCTCTAATAGTTCATCAATCATCTAAAACTCGTATTATATGGCCTATTCTAATGATTGTTCTTATAATCTATATAAATGTTTCTCAGATTTTAATGTAACGTAAACATACACATATGTACAGTATGTAAATTGTGAAAAAGTGAATCACATTTTCGACATAAAGTAAGAAAATAGTTGAGAAATATTTACATTCTTTAACAAGTTTTAACTTTCAAAGTTAAGTTGCTTTGGGAAACTCTGGTATATGCAATAAACAGTGAAAAGCATGTTAAAATGAAATGTGTATGCCGTATGGAGAATATAGTAAGCATTAAAGAGGCATACCTTTTTTGAAACATACCCAGTAACAAATATTGACTAAAACTTGCACAATACTTCCTTTACAAAATGAATTAAATGTGGACCCCATGTGACAATTTGATTGTCAATTTCAAGGTCATGATTTTTGCATGTACATGCATACTCATTTTATTTTTGAAACAACTTTATTTTTGGAATTTTCATGATTATCAGCCATCAATTTTTCATTGCATCCTATTCATTAGGACGGTTTGCCTATTTAACATTTACTTATTCAAGGCTATTACAACTGGTAAGGTAAAGAAAACACAAAGTATGCAATTGAACATATATGTTGATATAGAAATAATCAGACATACACTTCATGGTTTTATGAAAAATTACTCATTTAACATCATTCATCTCTTCATAAAGCTCGGAATGTACATAACATAAGATTATAAAGAAGGAGTGATTTAAAGAGATATTTTTCTTCATAAATGACCAAGTTGTCATCATAAAATATGAATAAGAAGAGTTTGGCTGAGGTGAAGCATCTCAGAGGAATAATTGAATTTAAAATAATCTAATGATCAATCAAGAAGAGGTGATATAATGTTGTATCTCATACTTGAGTGGGTTTGGGGTAGATATCACCCGGGAATATATATCATATCTAGATATAGGGTATATCCCTCGGGAAATATTTATATCTCCCCTTGGTCCCTTCAGTCCCTCGGGTTGATATAAATATATTCCTCAGTATATAACCTATATCCAAAACCTCCCAGTACATAACCCTCATATATCCACTGTTTTTTGACTCGGCATTGGCAGTTGGTGGCTGTAATAGGTTGTTACACATGTGTAACTATATGAGGTGATAGCATTGTGTCCTGTAACGCCTTTAATATTGTATTCATTTGTTTAGGTACTATTTCGAGTTCTATACATATTTGAGAAATTCCAAATCATTGTACTTATATCAATTATGAATAAAATATTCTTAAAATCACCCCTTGTCGTTTACAATTAAGCACCTTAATGAATAATTAAAACATCATTATTGGACAATAAATGTCGTAACAATATAATTGAGCAGTGAAAGGTTGCAACACATTTTAATAAAAAATCAACAATAATTTATTGTTTATACATGAAATTCAGAATGCACAGGTGATCCAATGCTCCATTCACATTGTGATACTTCATATACAGTACAAGTGTATCCCATGTATGTGTAACCTTGTAGTTCATGTATATTTCATGTATAGTACTATGCACTAAAGTAGTTCATGTATTTCATAAATATATTAGTAGATGTAGCCCATGTATATTTCAAGTTTGTGTACTCTAGTAGTCCATGTATAGTTCATATATATGCCATCTAGTAGTCCATGTGGAGAAATATGTTTCGGGAGCGAGTAAATGGTGGTGTGAAACTGACGATTTCACATTTGCAATGAGAGAATCATGGTTCGAGCGCAAGGAATGTAGTTCACGAGCTCAGAACTGATGTTCATGTTGGCCTGTGTATAGTCATTGAATGTCATTGTATTGAACGTATAGTCTATGGCTGTCACATTGTATGGACTGTGTACATGTAGTATATGGGAGTCGCATTGTAACACCCCAGTCACATTTGTCGTACGGAGGCCGTGCGTCGACCGCAGATCAATTAAATTAGTATATTTCTGCGGCGAGCGTAGTAAAAGTATGCTCGCCTTGCGGCCTCCGTACGGCGTATCCAGTTTTTTACAGGCCGCAAGGTCGCCGTAGAAATTATAACTCGGAGTTATAATTTTTGTTCATTTCTGAGGTCCCCGTAGAAATCAACTGGCTCAACAAGATTGAATCATTATTTGTCAATGTTTCACGATCACTTTTCATTTGATATTACATCCTAGCACTACGAATAACATTTATAAATTGTCCCGATGTAAATAAAATGAAAAAAGTATTATTTATCAACAGAAATTTAATATTTACCGTGCGGCTGCCGTGGGAAATGTGACTGCAAAAGTATGAGAGCGCAGAAATTCCACGGCGAGCGTAGAAATGTTACTGGCCGCAGAAATGATAGACCGCAAGGTCGCCGTAGGAAATGTGACTGGGGTGTAAGGTGTATTAAGTCAATGAATGTCATATTGTATCGGTGTCACTTTATATAGGTGAAAAGTTGAGAGTGTAATATTGAGTTAGAGGGCCGTTCTGTCTGTACAGTATGATACTGTATGACATATAATGGGTGTTTTGTGCGGTACATATGCGATTACATTCATCAAACCCCCCCCCCTGGCTACACCTATGTACATGTACATGTGTAATAAGAGTGCTCCGAGACTGTACCTACCAGGTGGCATAGAACAATCGGATTACCACAATTCATGAATTGGAACATTGTCCACTCCAATGCAAAACTGAATTAAATTATACATTAATAAAAGGACTAGTTACATAAGATTGATAAGTTACATTGGACTGACTAGTTACATGTGATTGATTAGTTACATTGGACTGACTAGTTACATGAGACTATCTATAAAACAAGAAATAATACAAAAACATGTTTTATGTAATGTTCTATATGGGATCAAATCTAGCAGTACACTCTTAAAATGCATATTACTATATTATACATATATAACTTATGCAGAAGTTAGATAAATTAATCTGCTATATGTACAAAGCCTAAACAGTCTATTAACAGATCTATGAAGTTTAAGTACATGTATGGTAAAATCTGTAAATTGGAAACATCAGTAAGTAGAACACCTCTGTAAGTCAAACACCTCCTTGAATGGAACACATTATAAAATCTTCCTTCCCTCTTAGAGGAAGATCTCCCCAGTAGAACATTACTTTGGGGTACCAGAAAGGCATTTCACTCACACAGGTTTTACTCAACTTCATTTTTACTATATATACATTATGTTTTCTTATGATGAATTTCTCCTTGTAATTAACCCTCATTGTTATGAATACCTCCTTGTTGATAGCAGTAGATACACCTCATTACTATTTTTCTCTACTAAACACCTCATTGTGCTGAATACCTCTCTGTATATAATACTCTTTATTATTAGTACCTCATTGTATATAACGCCTCATTGATGTAAATACCTCACTGTACTTCCTCTTTGTACTTGATACCTAATACCTCTTTTGTAAATACCTCTTTGTAGTTAACACCTCATTGTTCTGAATACCCCTTTGTAGTGAACATACTTTTATGAATATATACAGGTTCATGGGATTATAACTTTAGCCTATGTACATGATAAAACAGTTGAATTGTTAAGTATGTAACAGCTGAAGTTTATAATATACATGTATGTACATGAATAAGGGATATAACAGTTGAAACTCATAGTCTATATACTATATATAGTATGTATTATAATGAAGATCGTTGGTTGTGTGCATATTTCATCATGGTGCATTATTTTAATATCATCATCTTTGCAAGTGTTTTATTTTTCATTGAACACATCTTTAAATGATGGCTAGACTGACAAGACAGTTTCCTCCGTGATACACTAAATTGCGATATACAGCAATTTTTACGCCAAGTGCCTCCTACACATTTTTTCACTCATCTGTAGGTTTTCACTTCCAATAGAGAGTGTATTATGGCACGTAGCTCAATACACAATGATTTGAGAATATTTCATTTCCAGACAGATATATTCATTTAAATATTTTTCACCACTTTTTGTTTCCATCTCTTGTTGCCTTGACCTGGGTAACTCGCTCTGATATATCTAAGTATTGTGAAAGGATCTACATGTATCTATTTCGATACTCAGACTTCTATGAAATCTCTGTCACATACTTATAACGAACCTTCAGTATAACTGTATGCACAGTAGCTATTGTGAGAATCGGGAAGACTAGGAACACACTATCGCTTAAATAGTTGGCATCCAGGATAATTTTTATCTGAAAATAAAAATAGATAATGATAAATTATTGTACTATAAAGTATGAGGAGGATTGATGATCCCTTGAGTTTTCATAATTTTACAATGAAAGATCACCAAATGAAGAGGTTTGATTGGTCACTATAAGTCACATGATTCAATTCTCAAGATAAGCAGCCAGACATTCTGAGTAATGGTGCAAATAAATCCCATAAGGAGACAAGTCCCATAGCACAAGTTATCAATATTCCTGACCAGTGTGATCTTTATGATTGATCATCTCATGTGTGATCATCCAGAAACATCTTGGAAACATAAACAGAAACATAATGGAGTAGTTTTGAATAATTTAACATTAAAAGTCTGGGGCCTTGTCTTGTCATTGCCCTTGCACCAATAATATGATTGATGTTAGTTATATAGTCATTAGCTTGTACACTGGGATGGCCACCATTATTAATATTTTGAGAGTATCTGAGTTTAGTCAGACTGGCAAATTGATATTTTGAAAGGAAAATCTTGCTACCATGCAAAAATAGCCTGCAAATATCAGTATCTGGGCTAATACACTAAAATAATATTATTATTATAATTTTATAGATGTTATTTGTTGGAGAGGGGTTTCTTAATAAGTAGCAGAAGCTGTTTTCTACACTTGTATTCTCCACTAAAAAATCTATGGTTGAAACTCAAATATTTTTACAATATTTTGAATACCACAGACCATACCTCTACATATAATTCGCATAATCCAAAAAAAACTAAGGCACATTGAAGTATATTGATTTATGTAGGCGTTCCTCTGACATAAATATCTCCATGTGATTTATGGACTACTGTATGAGCTGATAGGCTGCAGGTTAAAACAGTCCATTATTCTGGTATACCTTTATTAGAAGATAAGCAAGATCAATATACACAATGTCTCCTCCATAGCGGATAATTATAATGATGTAGAAACAGAGTTTTAAACCTCCTATTGAAGATACAGGATGAAAGCTCATTTGAAATTATAACATATATCATAATTCTTTGAATAATATTGTTGATAAATTATTTTGCATTCAGTATATTGTATATTTATTAAAATGTTAACATACCGGTATATCATAATTCTTTGAATAATATTGTTGGTAAATAGTAATTATTTTTGCATTCAATATGTTGTATATTTATTAAAATGTTGACATATATCATAATTCTTTGAATAATATTGTTGATTAATAATAATTATTTTGCATTCAATATATTGTATATGTATGAAAATGTTAACATATATCAATGCTTTGAATAATATTGTTGATAAATAATAATTATTTTGCATTCAATATGTTGTATATTTATTAAAATGTTAACATATATCATAATTCTTTGAATAATATCGTTGATTAATAATAATTATTTTGCATTCAATATATTGTATATTTATTAAAATGTTAACATACCGGTATATCATAATTCTTTGAATAATATTGTTGGTAAATAGTAATTATTTTGCATTCAATGTATCGTATATTTATTAAAATGTTAACATATATCATAATGCTTTGAATAATATTGTTGATTAATAATAATTATTTTGCATTCAGTATATTGTATATTTATTAAAATGTTAACATACCGGTATATCATAATTCTTTGAATAATATTGTTGGTAAATAGTAATTATTTTGCATTCAGTATATTGTATATTTATTAAAATGTTAACATACCGGTATATCATAATTCTTTGAATAATATTGTTGGTAAATAGTAATTATTTTGCATTCAATATATTACATATTTATTAAAATGTTGACATATATCAATGCTTTGAATAATATTGTTGATTAATAATAATTATTTTGCATTCAATATATTGTATATTTATTAAAATGTTGACATATATCATAATTCTTTGAATAATATTGTTGATTATTAATAATTATTTTGCATTCAATATATTTTATATTTATTAAGATGTTAACACTATCATAATGCTTTGAATAATATTGTTGATTAATAATAATTATTTTGCATTCAATATTTTGTTTATTTATTAAAATGTTAACAGATATCATAATGCTTTGAATAATATTGTTGATTAATAATAATTATTTTGGTGTTCACTTTTCAAGGTTCCTTAATACATGTATATGAGTCATTATCCCAACGAACGTTCGTTAGGGATATAGTGAAGCCCTCCGTCCGTCCGTCTGTCCGTCAGTCTGTCAGTCCGTCAGTCAGTCAGTCAGTCCGTCCGTCTGTCCGGAAGATAACTCAAATACTAGTTGACAGATTTTCTTCATATTTAGTGGAAAGATGTATATTGGTGAATAGTTTTACGCAAAAAAAAAAATTTTCAAGATGGCAGCCGCTTTAAAAATGACGGGACTTTTTCGCAAAAATCATAAATTTTTCATTCTAAACCAAAGTAATTAATATTATTGTTTGAAATTTTGGTAGTGTATTTACAACATTTATCTATTTCACATATATTCTGTGTTTTTCATCCTGACCCCTGTATGGACAGGAAAACAGAAATTTTCGCTAATTTTTAGATCTTTCTGAAGTATAGCTTTATTATACTCAAATTAAAGGCAATTAAGAGTGGATTGCAAATATTGTATCTTTTTTCTGATTCGAGCCTCGTAAAATTCAAAATGGCCGTCTAATGTACGATTTCGCAATAATTTTTACGATCCCTTCAAAGTATGGCTATATTATACTCAAATTGAAGGAATTTTGGAGTAGATCACAATTATGGTATTATTTTTCAGATTTGTACCTCAGAAAATTCAAAATGGGTGCTTTGCAGGAATTCGCAATTCTAAAATCTAATTTTTTCATTTTCAACCAAAGTAATGAGTATAATTGATTGGAATTCGGTAATTGATATTTTGTTCGTTGGGATTCGCTACTCCGCGGAGTTGCCGTTATCTAGTTCGAGAGGTGTTCAGATTAGTTCTACTGTACCTGTCACTGCAAACTTTAGGCATGTCATTTTTGCATATTTTGCATTATATTTATATAATTTGACATCCCAGACCTACCTGTAAAATGTAAAATGTCTGATATCTTAAAATGCCATTTATTTACTTTGACCACCTTATAGTAGAATAGAATTAGGAATAACAATTTTATACATCATATTATAATATAAAGCATGATTATTGTTCAATGTGGAGCATAAATTAATAGATGAAATGAAGATCTTGTGTTGGAAGTTAGGGTCAATATTTGCTTTTGTCATAATCTGTCGATCTTTAATGAAGTTTGCATCATCTCCAATAACCAGTTCTTTTATACAGAATGTATGAACATAAGTGATAATTTTATCACATACAAAATACAATCAGTCAATTTACATGTTGATCCATGGTGTAAGTCAAAATACATCATTATCAATGCTAAATAAAGCGTGTCACACAAGGTGAAGACCTACAAGCTCAAATGGATACATGATTGGTTTGGGTGTAACTTGCTCTCATTAAAAAACAATGGCAAATGCAAAATCAATATATTGGTAGAACTCAATTTTTTGCAAATCTGAATAACCTCAATGAATTTGCATGTATGCTACACAAAATGTGTGTTTCTATAACTACAGAATACATAATTTATACATACAAAAATATTTTTCTTTGAGAGTTGAGGATATTATGAAACACTCTCATTTTTATCTGTTAATGCCTTTGGTGAGTACATAGTCAAACAAAACTATTTCAAATAGCCTTGCATAAAGATGATATTTATGGTATTCCTGCTTTGCAAGTTGTCAAGATCTTCTCGTTTATTGCCAAAGCGAAGGCGAAAATAAAATATCCCATTGACAGTAATGAAGTCTTTTGTATTCCCAGAAAAAGAAGGTCTGAATATATTGATCTTGCATGTGTGTTATAAAAATAGTGTACTATTTTCTAACTTCAAAATGACACATCTCCTACGATTAGGGCATTTATGATTTTATTAATTCAGGAAATGATAAGGGTAATGAGTTTTTTTGAACTGTCAAAACATTTTAGTGTAAAGGGTCACAGGCTTTGATCAACCTTATGGTTTGCTAGTTAGCAAAGCAGATATTTGTTCTAACCATGGGCATTCAAACTATAGAAAGCCCATGTTCTAACTTAGCAGGAGTGGGCTATGTCATCATTCACATATTCACCTATATGTTATTTATGAGTTTCAATTAGCTCGCCCTTCATTTCTTGTTCCCAAAGTAGTCATAAGTAATCACTCTTGACAGAGGGATTCAAATAGAGTTAAAATTGTAGTTTTAGTCCTGTCAGTATTATTGCAAGTATTTGCGTGTTATCATAACGCACCTTGGGGTTTCCAGAAATTATTAAGAAGCAATCGTTTTAGTTGCAGTCTCCAAATTTGCTGAGATTTGTTTGACAAATATGAAATGTAATATTAAAGAACAGAGTTTAAAACCTATGAAATTGTTTAAATAAACCTCACCTGTGTTATGTACATGTCCAACTGCTATCTGCTAGCCTGTTTTAGACTCCAAAGTGTCATCTATATAATCTATACTGGGATGTAGAGTCAAAATTGTAGGTTTCTCATAGTCCTTCATCATTTCTTTATCTCTGTCAGACTCAGGGGAGTCACAATTACAATCTTTAGGAGAAATGTCCTCCTCACGTTCAGTATTATTTTCCATAGTATGGTCTTGATTGTCTGAACTGCCACTGTCTCTTAATGATTCTTCACTTTTTGACATTTTTGCCCCTTTTTTCGAGTTAGGCCTACTGGTTTTAACACCATTGTCATTGCTATTTGACCTTGGCCCTATGTGCCTATTTCCTTTTTTCTTTAACTTCGGAGAATGTCCCTTTTTCTCACAATTTTTTGTATTATCGTGAATGTTATTACCATTGAAGTGGGTATCATTGGGTTCTTTGTTCGAATCATTTAATAACTTTTCCGTTTCTTCTTGATTCATTGCATCTTTTTTAGTAAGGAATTTTTTATCCCTGATGATGGGTGTTTTATCTTGGTGACCAGTGGATGGTTTGTCAGCAGTCATCGGGACTGGAATCAAACATAAAATACATACTGTATACTCTGACTTACACATAGCACACATGTAATACACAACAAAACATGATGATTTTATTTACATGTTAAATTTGTAATTTGGTGATGGTCTCATATTATTTATAATTGAATTTTATCATTTTACTTTTGATATGCAACGGAGAAAATTCTGAAATTGTAAATCTATCACAAAGACACTTGAAATTCTTAATTTTTGCATGCTTGGATTAAATTTAGTAGTACAATTTGATATAATATATATTCATATCTCACATTGAAATATAAAATTAAGCTCTAAAATATATTAACAAATATATCTTTAAAGTGTTTATGTACCTTACAAACCTAAGTACATGTAAATAATAACATGTACAGTTTCACCCAAATAATATGTACAGTTTAACCCAAAGAACCTGTATAATTTCACCCAAGTTCTTTGAAGCAAAATGCCAAATTAAGCTGGCAAAGCAAGAGAAAAGTTAAAAGGTTAATTCTGTCATGGAACTCTGAATGCGATATAGAGATTCCTATTTCTGTATCTATTAAAGTTTAAAAGCTAAGCAATGTAAATGTCTTCAATAGCAGAAATAGCAAGTTTGTCATCATTACATTGAAGAGTTATATTAGCCAATTTGTTCCAAGATTCATAAGAGTGTGCAATGAAGACACAAATAAAAGAAGCAATGGTGGAAAAGATAAGCAGTAAAATTGCAGAGCAAACTAAGCTAACAAAATTCAAGGCAGATGCACCTGTAGTATTAACAGTTAGAAAATCTAGAAAGTGCTAAAAGTTGAAAAAAATAAAAATGATCATACATTACTGTATATACCTCACCAGGGGCCTTGCTGTTCTTATCATATTCAGGGCTATTTAATTCTAAACCTCATGATGTTCTCAAGTGAATAAAAATTGATATTCAAAGCTCACCAGATAAATAACATAATTTAAGTTGGTCATACAATAAAAATTCACACTTAACATGTACTTATAAAAAAACTGACTGAATTCTGTATTTGTGTAAACTGTGTGTGATTGACTCAATCTTTTGTTTGTGCCAAGTTTACATTTTGAGTGAGTTACTTTTGGGTGAATCTTGTGAAAATAAAAAAAGAATAGAATTGCCATGACATTTATTTTTATAAAGATCACCGACAAGGAGGATTGGCTCCCAGGATCGAAACTCGATATTTTCCAACAATGAAAACGTCGAAATGTCGTTATTTTCTGAAATTAAAACCGACTATAAATTCAAAATAAACAGTTCAAAAGATTCGAACCAATATCTCGATCGTTTCTTGTGAGTTTTGGAATTTTTCGTTTGGAAATAAGACCAAAATTCACGATTTAAATGTTGAAGTGAACAAAATGGCGGCTGTTTGAATTCGAATTTTGTATTACGACATACCCATATATGGGACAGAATATCGGTGGTGCACTCTGGGAGCCAATCCTCCTTGGATCACCGAGGCAAAACATATGCACTAGAATTGGCAAGAGCTTTATAGCTTTTTCTGACAAGTTGGTTGCCATAGTAACAAATTGCGAAGTTGCCATGGCAACCACATACCTGGCTTTGGAGATTTTTGTTGGTAGCTGGCGAGCTTTTTGCCTGTATTAGGACTTGCATGGTGCTGCCTTCTGCCAGACAAAGGGGGCTTTCTGATGCAATCCCTGTGTTTGCCTGAACTTTCCTGGTGTGTGAGAGATTCATTGGAAGTATGACTGTGTAAACCATCAGCTTCAATGTCAGCAAAGCGTGCTTTATGCTTGCCAAAACCAGCAGACTTAGTCTTGCGTAAAACATGCGGATGAAGATGGGAATGAAGACAGTTTGGTGCCCCTCCACCATTATTTCCCAGACTTTCCCTGAACTCTGATCTTTGGTACAGCATATTGGGATTAACTGATGGTTGCTTATGCCAAGTAGTGCTTAAACCATCAGGTAACCTCTGTACTACCTGATCAGATACCTTTTTACATGGTCTTGTGAACTTCCCAGGACATTCTAATGGTAAAATAGGCAGTACATTGCTAAGTATAGGAATTGGCTGATCCAGTGGATTAATGTATACATTTTGTGGTGGGCATTTTGAGGGGTAATTAGGAGGGGAGGGTGTATTTGCATAATTAGGGGGGCTTTTAGAGCTACCTGTAGTGACAGGCTGCAGTTCATAGAGCTCTTCTCCTCCAGATCTGCCATTGCTATCATCTCCCTCGTTGTTGTACGTATTACTGGCATCCTAAAATAATATAAGGTTGTATAAAAATAGCAAAAGCTTACAATATTTGTGATCAAAATTCTTGTATTATTACACAACTTTATAGTTTACAAACCATTTATTCAGAAAGTAAGTGACACTTGTGCTGAAAATAGCATTGATGGATGTAAAATGTAATGGTTCATCCCTTAACTGCATAAACCTTCTGATTTATACAGGGTTGGCCAAAAAAACAAATACCCAAGTTTAAATACTGTCATATGATACAGTATATGTTAAACCATGCCATGTATTATATATCATTTAAAAGTAAATCATTTGCTAACAAAATAACACCATCCAATTGCTTTCTCGTGGAGATTAAATTGACACCAGGGGTGTCATGAGCGGCCAAAAATCAAAAAATGAAAATTCCCAAATTTCCATCCATATTGCAGTCACAGTTGCACTCTATATGCTTGAAGAATCATCATAAAGGAGCATGCAATTCTAACTTGGATTATGAATATTTTCTGATCATGAACATGGGTGTATCTTTTAGATCCATGCATTATCTTCAAGAAAAGTATATATATGGATAATTTAGTTAATCAGACCTAAGTGATATTGAAGGGGCAATGGACCAATCAGCATACTTTTTCAAAAATGTTGACCTAATTTTCACCAAATATGCAACCTTTTATTATATTGTTGAATGCATAATTAGAATGTGCTTTGAGACATGTTTGATTTCCTAAAAGGAAAAGTTGATTGCTCCAGGGACTTTAAAGATACTGAATTTGGATGACCAAAATGAACTGAAACCAATGGATAGCATGAGCTTTTTCAATGGAGAAATAACATGGGGAACACTTATCTTAAAGCAATTAAGTTTTTCTTTCAAGAACTATTTGATACATCAAAATAGAGAATAGTAATGCATTTAACATTGTAAAAAATGATTGCATTTTTGGTGGAAATGGGGTCAACATCTTTGAAAAGTGTGTTGATGGGTTTATTGCTAGTTAAATATCTCCGTGTTTGTTTGATTTTATTATTACTGTATATAATTTTCTTTGAGATAATGAATTGATCTAAAAGATAAACCTGTCTTCATTGTCAGAAAATAGTCATAATCCAAGACACAACCTTCTGAAATTGTTTGCGATAACCTACGTGCTCCATTTATTTAAGAGTAAGACAGAATTGATAATTAATTCAAAATATATATGTATTATTGCTGAATTTTGCACTATATTTGTATAAATGTACCTCTTTTGAAGGTGCCAAAGTTTTCCATTTTCCACAATTTGGAAATCCGCAGTGAATAATTTTTTGGTCATTCATGATACCCCTGGTGTTTATTTTAGGTTCTTACTCCATTATGAAACAACAATTTTTCAATCAGATGGTGTCATATTGTTAAGAAAAGATTTATCTTTAAAATGATATATAATACATGGCACAGTTTAATACATATTATATGAATCATTCATCTTTAAACTTTTTTTGGCCCACCCTGTATAAACAGATTTATTACAAATTATTAACTTTTGCCATACTTAATCAATCACCACTAAATGATGCTACTTCATTTTGACCGCATACATGTACAATATATATAAGAAAAACAATTATGTGTCTTATCTAATGCCTTTTGATTCTTAAGATTAGACCTCTATGAACGTTATAAACTTTGCATCAACACCAGACATGGCTATCCATAAATCCCGTTCCGGCATAATCCTATCTATATATTTCATATACACAAGGGATCCACTGACATTTAAGTTCCACTTTTTGAGCACACTATAAAACCTTAGGGATTTCTCACTCAAATAAAACATCATGGGCCAAATATCCACTGGCGCATCTATCAAGTTTTTCTCTTCAAGAACCCTCTTACTATAATGGCCATTATTTCCCAGTCCCCAGTTATAATATCTTCATTTTTTATGTTGCAATTGTAATTGGTGAGATGGATATGCAAGGCTGAAGTAACCAAAAAGCTCTATTACTACAGCTATCAATTCATCAATAAGCTCAATTTGTGTGCATTATATTAAACTTAGAATGGAAATGATGGCAAAATAATATTATGTAAAATTTATTCAGCTCTGTGGTGATGTTAACCATTTTTGCAACCACAGAAAATGAAGTAGTATCTGAGTCATAACCTTCTTAAGGGAGTGTTTTATCTTTTTTTTTTATTTAGGAATATCAATAAATTTAATGTTGGCTGATCTTAAATGCTGTTTCTCATATACTACCCAAACTACTCTAGCTTGAAAGGGTAATTAGGTTTGTGGAATCATCAGAATTTTTTGGAGGCACAGACATTCTATTAAAGCATGGAAAACATATCTCAAATTGGTTCATATTTGACTGGATGTACTGAACTGGTTCATGTGGAATCATCAGATTTTTTGGAGGCACAGGCATGAAAAACATTCCAAATTGGTTCATATTTGACTGGATGTACTAAACTGGTGCATCTAAGACAAGCACAGGTTGATTGCTATGAATTAGTATGTGCTTTGACAGAGCTAAGGCCTACTAGTAAAGCAATTTACATTAAGGCAAGAGGTCTCATTTTCATAAAATCAATAGCATAACACACGGTTTGGCATCAAGTAACACTTCAAATTGCCAACAACACAACATGGGCATTATGAGGTCTAACCACTGACCTAATCAGTGATATATTTTCTTTCCTTATTCCCTACATGCATTAATTTTCTTCTGGATAAGGTTTGACAGCCTATCAATTCAAAACGATTCTTCAACTATAGATAGTTTTGCTGATGAACTGTACGGTTGTAATAGATTAATGGCCTTGTATACAGTTACGGTAATGTATGTTTTGTGCAGAGAATATTAAACAATGAATGTCTATTTTTATACACAGGACTCCAAGAATCAATTTAGAATAATCAGATAAGCAAAATTAAGTAAAGATATCTCAATTAATTTGGTCAAAATCACAATCATTCTAGTAAATTCCCTTTTTGCAAAATGTCACTTATTAAAGGAAGAAGTAATGATTAAGTTTACTATTCATTTATATTGGAAATATTCTTGTCAGAAAGCATACCAATGTTAATTCATAAAATATGTTATGTCTGATCAGATATTGAAATTATTGAAGATGTACATGTATGGTGCAAAAATGTCCAAATTCATTAGAGTATAATGGGGGAATTCCCCCAAATAGATATAAATCAGAGAATTATCCAGAAATACGGGTCAGAACTGCCTGTTTTAGGAAATATGCATGACAGAACTATGAGAGCAAAAAATTCTATTCCTTTTCTTTCTATTCCTTTCTGATCCCTCACTTATATCCTTTTGTTGATGGGCTAGGTATAAATACCACATAATTCAAAATTTCACATTTGTTGGGCAAAACTCAATTATTTGCTAAGATTTAAAAACTCAGCAGAAATATCACTCCCTTTAGACACAATCAGTCACTTTCCCCTAGAAGTTAAAAATACATTGGCGGGTGGCAAAAATTCCAAAACCATTCATAAAAGAATTACTTCACTTAGACATGTCCATGATGGCCAAGCATATATCAATGAATTTCAGGCTTAATAGATATTTTTGCAGTTTTTTTTAGTTCAGAATTGGTTACTATTCATGAAGATTGTGGAAGAAATTGCCTAAAGCTACAATATTAAATTTGTCATTGTTGCAAACCCAATTAGTGAAACCCAGAGAGTTACATAATGTGTCCCATGGTAGTGAAGTAATCTCATTAGATATTTAATAACAATGTTATGGGCCAAGGAGGAATTCTATCTTATTTTTCTTGCTTGTATACTATCAAGCTAAATTATACTTTAGATGATGACTTGAGCAAAAAGTCCAGGACCACGATAGTAGTGGCACAATCAAGTAGGGTATACTCGATATGCATTTTCCTAAGTTTGAAGATTTTGTGAAATGGCTAAGTGTGGTTGTCATGGTAGACAGAAATCTGTTTGTTATAATGACTGATATATGAGCTATAGTGCTATCAAGATTTAAAGAAAACAAAGGAATATTTTTAAAACCCATAATTATTGGACAATATGTCAGCGCTGTCCCAAATTTGAGCTCTCACCAATGCCTCGTGTCATGTTCTTGTCTTTGAGAAGCAACTTAATGTGCCTATACATTTACAGTATATACACTATATATAGAGGTTAACAAATTTCCAAAATGATAAATGGTAATTATCTCAAGATCCGGTTACTTTGTTGGAGAGTTCAATAATTTTGTCATTTATTTGTGTCTGTACAAATATGGTAACAAGAGATTAGTGTGGCCTAAAGTCATATCAAATGAGTAATTTTAGATAACAAATGATAGCATTTACTGGAATATAATTTGAATTTCCGGAAAAGCAAATTGAAAATGTCTCCTAATTGGGCTTGTGATGATTGAAGATGAAATGAGTGCTTCAAGTGCATTTGAAACCAAAATTCCCTTTATTTATACATTTTGAAAAAAATGTAATATTTTTTCCTCTCAGATTGGCCAATTTCCATGTTTTATGCTCAAAGCCAAAATTGGCTGTGCAGCACGTACCTACCCAAATTATTTGGAGTGAACCCCTTGGGTAATATATTTGACAATATGGGGCATAATGATTGTACAAACCAGTGTTAAATTACTTATCTAAGAAATAAAAGGTTTCATAGAATGCTTTTGGAAAGGACATTTATCAAGAGGAAAATACTTTACTTTAATGAACAATCAACCTGTTGAAGATGTAAACCCTATTATTGAACATTCAACATATTGTATAGATACGCCATTGATTTATTAATTGGCCATTTTCAGTTAGCTAGATTTTAATTGTTTTATTTACTGAATTTGTTGCTATGCATTTCTTCTATATAATGGTATGCCATTATGCTAGTAGACTGACATGATAATAACACGAGCTGCAACATGCATGATTGCAAATTGATAAATTCACTATCAATTATTTATTGCTCTTAGTTCCAAATAGCAGAGCAAATGAGAGCTTCAAAGTATGTTCGTTAATGAAA